CCCCCTCCATTCCTCCCCATCAGACCCTCCCTGTCAGACCCTCCCCATCAGACCCTCCCCGTCAGACCCTCCCCATGAGACCCTCCCCATGAGACCCTCCCCTCAGACCCTCCCCCATCCGTCTCTCCCCATCAGGCTTTCCATTGTAGAGTGAGCCACTCCCTGTGGTCCAGATTCAAGCAGTGCAGGGCCACAGTGGCACCTGAGTGTGAAGCTCTGGGGGCCTGGACAAGCAGCCGAGGGCCTGCAGCTGCTCAGGAAGTACTCATCAAGAAGTAGCCAAGGGTAGGGGTGGGAGAAAGAGGGGCACCACGCTTCCACGGTTACATACAACACAAATGAATGGGTGCAGCCCATTGACCGAGATGAAGTTTGAAAGATTCAGTTTAAAAACACAAGCCACCTACTTCTCTGAAACCCAAGGGCCCCCAAGCCGCAGGCCTCACCCCAGGCTTCCTGAGCCCTCACTTCACTGGGTCGCCTTCGCTCAGCGGCAGGGACTGGGCTGACGTCAGGACAGATGGCGCAGCTCAGGAACAGAGCATCTTCCTAATGCCCCTCGTGCCTGGCACAGGGCTGGCCCCGGGGCAGATGCCCCAGGCGCCCGTGGTGTGAACTGAACTATGTGGAAAAGCCAGCATAGCGGGTCACCTTTCAATGTCACATGCAATTTATTCACTTGCTCCACATCAGTTATCCACACATATTACATATCATCCATACTCCAAGAATACCCAATAAATCAAAATAGCCCTTTTCCCAAATGTTCTGTATGAGTGACAGTTAATTAGATCCGATGAAATGAATCTTGTGAATTGAAAACTAACATCTTGTTAGGATTCTAAGTTCATCAAGGGACAATGCTATACTTGTAGGTATTAGCTCTCTAATCAATTTTAATTAGCTTCAAGGAAAGTAAAAAAGCAGTATCTCTTAGTATAGTGCCATGGAGAGAATTCTAGACTAAAATAGTTACACTCTAGATCCATTTCCTTGTTCACTCATTCATGACCTTAAGTATGTAGTTCACCTAATCACACCTTCCCCAGTGATATGAAAAAGTTGCTGTGAACATGTTTGAAAACATGAGAGGGTCTAAATATCAGGGCATTTTTACTTATTAGATTTTTGTATAGGTAGAATTCTTTTGTGCTGATGTTGTATAAATAAAAACAACAAACTGGTAACACAGAGTGAAACAGTGACTTGGTCACATCAACATTGCTGGATCAAACCTTTCCTGAAGACCACCATACCTTTGGACATTTTAGTTACATAGTCAATCCATTCTCTCTATTATTATCTTATACAGCTCCTAGAAACAACATTAGCAATGACGGCTTTATAAGGCAGACCTATTTGTAAAAGAGCCTCATGGCCATTGTCAAATAACCTTGCAAAACGTGAAGTGCTACGTAACTGATGAGTGTGTTGGGCACTGGCTGTGGTTGAGCACGGCATTCGTGGGCCAGCCTGGAGGTCGAGGGTCTGATGACAGGTGTGCAGGTGGCTCGGGTGAGAGGAGCTGCTTTTGTGCCGGCCCTGAGGATCCAGGATGCCCCAGCACTCTGCCTGGTGGGGTGCTGCTGGTCTGGACCCTACAGGGCAGCGGCCTCCTGGGGACAGATGGAGGCTGCCGCCTTCCCTCCTGGGCTCATCTGAGCGCCGGAACAAAGCGCTGCATGGCTGGACTGCTGTTAATGCTTCATGAGTTGAGATCCAGGCTTGACTCACAGTTACCTGCGTGGAAAAGGTTGCCTGGGTCAGTTTGCTCATGGGAGAGAAGACATTGCTAGGGTTCGTGCCTAGATGTACAGTACCCCCAAAGCCTCATGCACTCAGAGGGGGGCTTTGGGAGGTGATTGGATCATGGGGTGTGATACTCATCAGTGATTGGTCCACTGAGGAGAGCTTTGGGAGGTGATTGGATCATGGGGTACAATACTCATCAGTGATTGGTCCACTGAGGAGAGCTTTGGGAGGTGATTGGATCATAGTGTACAATACTCATAAGTGATTGGTCCACTGAGGAGAGCTTTGGGAGGTGGTTGGATCATGGGGTGTGATACTCATCAGTGATTGGTCCACTGAGGAGTTTCTAGCTAATGTGATGTTGGGAGGTGGAGCCTGGAAGGTTGCATCTCTCTCCCCATTGCTCCCTTCTCTCTGCTTCCCATCCCTCATGGCCTGAGCAGCTCTCCTCCGCCAGGCCTCTCCGCCATGCTGCCCTGCCTTACAGCTAGCTGACCATGGACTGAACCCTCCACAGGCTGCAAGTGAAATAAACCCCTCCTGCTATAAGTTGTGGGTGTCAGCTATTTTATCCCAGCAACAAGGGAAGTAACTGAGATGGGCACAGAGCGGGCTCTCTATACCCACAGGAACCCAGCAACTGTGGAGGTGTCTTGGTTACTTTTCTCTCGTTGCTGAGACAAAATACCTGACACCCGAAATGAAGGCAGGAAAGGTTTTTTTAGCTCACAGTTTGTGGAGGTTTCAGTCCGTACTCGGCTGGCTCCAAGGCAGGGTGGCACAGGGCAGAGGGCAAAGGTTCATGGTGGCGGAAGACAGCAAAAGCAACAAGAGCAAAAGGGAGGAGAGGCAGCAAGGAGCCTCTTTCTCTTCCTTATATTGTAAGCTGGCCACCCCCAACCAGGGGCGTGTGGCACTGACACCATCTCCAGGCCCTCCACCTGCACAGGCTCAGGATGAATACAAAGTAAGGACCCTGGCCCCCTGCTGAGTCCCATAGTTTACCCTCTAAACTTCTCACATTGACACAATGAGCCACATCCCAGAAGGGTAAGGGCGTGTCCTCCACACCCCAGGATGTAGAACTGCTGAGTCACTTAGCCAAGCCTCTAGACTCCCCAAGTTGACGCAGTGCATCAACCATAACAGGAGGGGAAACGTTCTTTAAAAAGTGCCTGTGCTGAACAGGTACAGGTTCTCCGTTTGCTGTTCCCGAAGCAATGCAGAGCTAGGATTCACCCAGCATTTCCACTGTGTCATCTCGGTAGAGCGCAAGGCAGAGGTGTGTGGGCTACCTGTGAATACTGCCCTCCGGAGTAGGCAGTGTCAGGACCGATACCCCCAGGAGTCTACACGACAGACGCAAAAGCACTCCAGTGTTTAAGTTGTCCATGTCAGGGAGAGCAACGGTCACCCTGCACAGCATTTGGAGCAGGAGATTTCAAGACCCGACCAGGAACCGCAGGACCATTTGCACTCCAGGTGGATCTGCGGGTTGTTGGTGTCCCTTGGGGAATCAGGGTTCTTCCCTTCAGGGTGAGGACACCTTTCCTGTTAGGGACCGTGCAATGCCACGTGGAAAGACCTGCCCTTCGCCAAGCCGCCTTGCCGCCCCCGGGGTGATGGGGGACCCAGGCAGCAGGCCTCCCTCACCCACCTTGGTGGCCAGGGCCCCTATCCAGAGAACACTTGGTAGCCGAAGTTATCTGGCCGCATTCTAAAGGTGTATTTCCCGGTGGTTCTCTGGTAGCGCAGGGTCAGAAGGGTCACGGCCCCCGCCGCCACAGACAAGGCGGCGACTGCGATGAGGGCCACGTAGCTGGCGGCCAGGTGCGGCTTTGCACTCGGAGACGCACCTGCGGACGCACCTGTGGGGTGACAGAGGCGCTGAGCCGCACAGCCCCGTGTGCTAAGTCCAGCCCGGGGCTTCCCACTCGGGGTAAGACGTCCTCGCAGCCTGCACGTGAGAGTGCAGGGTGTGATTCCTGTGGGCCGGGACGCGCGCTCTCTCTTATGAAGCCCCAGCCCGGCCCGGCCTCGCTGGCAATTTAAGGAAATGGGGAGAGGAGAATCGCGTTGTCCCAGGACCAAGCCGGCTGTCGCCTGAGGCCCCAACTCCAGAGATCTGTGCTTAGGAGCTGGCTGACACCTGTGTCCATTTTACTCGCTTCCCAGGTGCTTTGGGTGAGAACCAGCCACTGAGAAACACTGGCCTCACTCCGCGTCCTCGTGTCCTCGCCAAGCCCGGCCGGCAGCCAGACACCGGCTCACGCCTCACCTCGGCAGCCCGGAGAACAGGGCGCTGAGAGCTCAGCCAGGCGGCGCAAAGCGACAATAAAAGCAAACCAGCCGAGACCAGCTCCAGCAGCAAGGGAGGAGAAACCAAAGCAGCAGGGGCTTAAAGCAAAGGGAAGTTTGTCTCTGGGGTGGAAACTGGGGTGGAGCCCGGCTCTGGAGTGTGGTACCCTCGGACCCAGCCCCCGGCGGTCGCCCATGCCCGGGGGTGCTCAGGGCCCCCAGCAGCTGCTGAACGCCTTCTCTGACGCTGGGCTGCAGAACAGCGAGGAGGTGAGGATCAAGGGGAAGGGGAGGCCCCCAGGTGGCTTGAAGGGGGTGTCCCTGAGTGGCCACACCTCCCCTGTGCCCTCAGTGGCCAGAACTGACACCTGGGCCACGCTGGGCTGCCACGGAGGTGGGGAATCCACGGTTACCTCTGGCAGCTAAACCCCGGGGGCTCCCGCTAGGGAAGGAGAGTAGACAAAACGAGGGAATGTCTGGCAATCTCTTAGTACCCAAGGCACACAGATTCCCTGACCCATTTTTTTTTTTTTTGAAATCATCGGAAAGTTCACACTCAAAAGAACATAGGATGTAACTGGCTGATGGAAATTTTGTAGCGAGGGAAAACAGAAATGCCTTCTTTTGCGTCTTCTGAATAAAACAGCTTTTTCACACGCATGCGCATCTGAGCGCACACACAGAACGCAGGCCCCTGCGCACAGCCTGGGCTGCCCCTCTGCACGTCCATGCGGTGTGGGTGCCAGGGAACAGCAACGGCCCTGGGCTCGCGCGGCTCGGCCTCGCCTGACGCTCGGAGCCCTGGCTTGCCCTTGGTAGCTCGGGAATCACAGGGGACCCACTTTCTGGGCAGGAGCAGTGAGTTACAGCCCATACTCGGAGGACTCGGCACCCCACTAGCGGACCACGGCTCTCATCCACCATTTCTGTTCTTTGTACTATCGTGAGTCTTTTAGGGAAACCTCAGAGCCCACGTTTCAAAGCAATTGCGAGTCTTGCATGGGCGGATGGACTCCGTCTTCACTGTCTGAACCCCAGGCGTGGACTCACCTCCCGAGCGAAGGAGTGGCCCCCAGGAGGTCTCCAGCACCTTGGAGCCTTCACTGCTTCTCAGAAACCGGAAATCATTGCAGTTCTGTGGGTTGGTTTGGAAGGAGGGAAATTTCAAGCTGGTTGCACAACTTCGAGGGGGATGAGCTCACTGTCGGGGTGGGGTCTGGCCGAGTCTGGAGATTCTGCGCCCAGGCGTCAGGATGCAGGGGGGCGGGGAGTGGGTGCCTGGACGGCACAGGGGACAGGAGGGCGGGAGGGGCACCCCGAATGCACCATGGAGGTCGCCGGCCCTTTGCTCCCTGCCTGGGGACGCCACTCAGCCACAGCTTCTCCAAAGGCCACTCCTGTCACCTCTGCCTTACAAAAAGGCCACACGGCTCTGTGGCACTGCCCTCTGTGCCCCTGCAATGGGCTGCCTGGGTCCTCCAGAGAGGTGCTCCACCCTAAGCCCACAGCTGCGGTTGTGTCTGTACTTGGGAAGGTGAGCAAGTCCAGGCAAGGCCACCGGCTGGGCTCCAACCCTGTGTGACTGGGGTCCTGGCAAAAAGGGGAATCGGGACCCAGAGATCGGTGTGCACAGACAGACGGCGCAGAGGAAACATCTCCAAGCCAAGATGGAGCTGAGCGAGGCCTGGGCCCGGTCTCCCGCAGTCTCGGAAGGACCCGGCCCCGCCGGCGCTTTGACCTTGGCTTCTCCGAGCCGTGAGCCAGTCTCTGCAGCTGCTGCCCGCTCTGCCTCACAGCAGCCTTACATCTAATACGGTGCCTGCCCTAGAGGGACATGCGGCGACCTATGCCAAGGTCGGAGTGACAGAGGCCAGCGGAGCTCTCTAACTGGTCCACGCCGTGATAGCCAGGCGTGCGGTCACTTTGCACACTTGCCTGGGCACACAGAGCAGCTTTCAAACCTTCAAACGCAGAGGTCAGGGTAGACGAGGCTGCAAAATTACCCACCCTCACTGCGCAGGTGAGGGGGGGGCACGGGGACGGGGAAGCTGTCACCCAGACTGCTTGCTGACGGTCCCTCAATGCTGCTAGCACCACAGCGAGCTGAAATAACAGCTGAATGCAAAGCTGCTCTGTTAGTGGCAGCGGGGAGCAGCTCAGCGGTGGGTGACAGGGCGGTGAGCGCAGCCTCACGGATGCTAGGTCTGGGCACTGGAGAGTTGGAAATGCCCACCAGCCCTCCGGACTTCACCCAGCTGCCCGCTGCCCAGCACCACTTCCGACGCCAAGTCTGCCCAGCCCTGGCTCTTGCGGGCAGCAGCTTCCTCTCACCCAGGGAGCCCCAACACTTACAATTTTGCACGTGGTGCCGGGGGACTCCATGCAGACCCGCAGCTTGCAGTGCAGGTAGACGATGGAGTTGTTGACGAAGGAGAAGATTCTCAGCTTAAACTGGGCCTTGCTGGAGTCGCCGTTCTGGATCACGCTGGTGTGGGTGTTGGGGACGGGGCAGCTGCGAGAGGCGAGGCGGCAGTCAGGGTCCAGACCCATGCCCTGTCACGGTGCCCGGCGGGCTGCCGACCCAGCGCCCACAAGCCCACCTGTTGTTGATGAACCCGAAGGTGACAGGGTCACGGGCATCACTGGAGGGCGTCGCCCAGCATTCCATCAGCACCACCTTGAGGCTGCTCTTCTGCCTGTCCAGCCCCACCTGGATCTTGATATCGTCGCTGGCAGACACGCTGTAATTCTGAGGTATGGGAGAATCTCCCACAAACAGCTGCATCTCCGTGACAAACGTGCCCGCACCGTGCAGGTCTTCCATGACGGTGTACACCCTGCGGAGGAGTGGAGGTCAGGGGGTTCATTTCTGCAGCTCCTGGGTCCCGGTCCTTCCTCCGAAAGCAACTCCCAAGAAATGGGGATATCAGCGAGGACCCCCCAGATGAGAGCGCTGGGCACCGCTGGCAAAGCAGGGCTGGCTACTGCACTGCACCCTAGCGGAGCCGAGTGGAGTGGGGCCAGGCCTCCCCGCTGGCGGGCCCAGGTGTGCGTTCATCCTTAACGGGCTGGGGCAAAGCTCAGGGAAGCTGGCAGTTATTCATTAAGTCATGATCGCGGGCTATTTACATGGACTCCATTTACATGGTCTGCAAGGGTGGAAACCCTGAAGGCCACCCCCAAAAAGGGCACCAGGCTACAGAGGGCAGGAGTGGCTCCCTACTCACCCCCACTTCGGGGTGTACCCCAGCGATGTCAGGAGGTCGTTCCGGAAGACACAGCGGATGGGGCTCAGGATGGTCGGGTGGTGGATGATGCCGTCGGGGGACCGGTCGTTCCTCAGGACCGTCTTCACCACAGTGCTGGTCTTGTTCTGGACACAGGTGGGGCCGGAGTGAGCCGTGGGTGAAGGCTCTGGGCTTGGGGGTGTTTGTGCGGGCTCAGCCTCCAACGTGTAAAGACGCTGACGCCGCTGCCTCATGGATGACCAGCGACAGCGTGCGTGTTGGCTTTGCGACTAGCCGCCCGCTGTGGACGGGACGGAGGCAGAGCGGCCAACCACACGTCCCCCTCCACCCTGCGAACCACTCTCAGGCAACCGGCCTCGAACTGACAGGCCCTGCGGGTCCCAGGCTTGGACCATGCACAGTGTCACATTTCCTTTCCTCCCCGCTGCCCCAAACTCTTCCAGGCTCCTCATCAGAGCCGGTGTCTGGGGGCTCAGAACGGCGAGGACAGAGCTGACCCACAGGCCTCTGTCCACAGCCCTCCACACTGTCCTTGTGGGGGGACAGATTCCTGGGCAGCAGCCCCATGTGCGTGGTGGGGAGCACCTTAACACAGCAGGGGGACACCTGCCTTTTAGCTTTTTTTAGTTTTTCAGTACTGTGGATTGAACCAAGGTCTTCACACTGAGCTACATCCCCAGCCCCTTTTCATTTTTTATTTTGAGACAGGTGTTGCTAAGTCATTAAGTTGCCCAGGGTGGGCTCAAACTTGGGATTTTTCTGCCTCAGCCTCCCACAGTGCTGGGATGACAGGCATGTACCCCCGTGCCCTGCTTTTAGCATCCTAACGTATGTTCTCCAGTCCCCGGTTGCAGCAGCTCTGGCCTGAGAACCCAGCAGCAGCCAGCCTCAGCCGGCGCCGACTCGGGTCTCCACCTGAACGTGGCTCACATGCCCACCTCGGGGCTGGGGACCAGAGGTCACGGGCCTGCAGAACGGTGGCCCGCCTGGGGCCTGGGGGCTCAGAAGTGCCCAGGGACAAAGCCCAGGCCCCGGTTCCTGCCACATGGCCAGGACTGTCACCTCTTGTCCCGAGCCCTGCAGCCCAGCTCCTGGCCAAGCCTCTGCCCTCAGTGCCCCGGAAAGTGGACCCTGTGCTCACCTGTGGGCACAGCCCCTGCCGGAACCCCACGGAGTCCCCATTGCTCACACTTGTGCACACAGGCATTCATTAACAAGACATCCACACGCTCACACACACATGCACAGATATGCTCATTAACAAGACATCCACATGCCCAGACCCATACACACATTCACACATACGGAAACCATACATACACACTCACACACACGAACAGGCCGGTTCACACTGTTCATTCATGTTAACTCACACCTATTTGCACATGTGCCCACAGACACATGCTTTCACATTCACACATATGTACACTGGCTACATGCAGCTGTGTAACACATCATGTACTCGCTCACGGTTGCACACATGTACACGTGCACACATGTAAAGCACATCTTAGGTTCACACGTACACATCTGGAGCCAGAGATTTGCAGTGACACAAATGCACTCAGACCCATGCACGCACATACACAGCGTTGCACACTCATGCACACTCACACACGCTCCCACAAGCTCACACGCCTTTGCCCCACACCCACGCACCTCGAGGTGCTCTGCCTCTGGAGGCTCCCCTGAGGGCCATGTGCAGAAGGCTGGGAAGCCTGGGAAACCCCTGAATCAGGAGCCCAAACAGACCTTTCCTCCCAGCCGGGTGTGGTGACGCGCGCCTGTCATCCCAGCACTTGGGAGGCAGAAGCAGGAGGATCACTGAGTGCTCCAGGCCAGCCTGGGCTACATAGTGAGACGCTGCCTCAAAAACCTTCTTACCTTAAGCTGATGTAGCTCAGATAGTTTGCTACCGTGATGGAAAGCTAACACACACGCACACTCATGTGACTCACACATGTACCTACACCTGTGCCGCACTTTCACGTACACACTCATGTGAACACACAGACGCGTCCACACACGGGAACTTACACCCACTTCCGTGCATGCTCGTGTACCATGACGTTCCCATGTGGGTTGTGGAATTCCTGCTCTTCCCGCCCATTTTCTGTTCTGCCCCTGCAACCCGACTCCGGCCACCCAGAGCCTCTGCCCAGAGCCCTGCAGGGTGGGGCTGGCAGCTCCCTCCTGACGCAGGCTGCAGATGGAGAACTTGGGGCCACCCGATACGCTGGGCTGGGTACCCGCTTGGTGTCTGAGGCTTGGCGAGCCGGTCCCACCTGGGTCCCCCGCAGTCATGACCGCCGCACCCAGAAATGCACCCTATCCCCGGCCTTACACTCTGCACGAGCGTTCCGCACTCGCCCCAGCCGGCCGCCAATAGCACGTGGGAGCCGTTGCTGAGGCTTGCGTTGCAGGAGGGCTGCCCCAGGTACAGGGAGGACGCAGGGATGGCCTCCTGCTGCAGGAAGCGCTTCTGGATGGTGATGCCCACCCGCTCGATCTCACACAGCACCCTGACCGCGCCTGTCAGGTTCAGCCGCGGTGCTGGGCTCTGGGGCTCTGGGCTGGTGCCCGAGAGGAGGGCGGCAGAAGTTCCTGCCTGGGCTGGGTGCTGCTCTGGGCCAGAGGTCGGGGTGGAGCTGTCAGGAGAGCCACCTGAGGGTAGAGGGGGCAGAGGCACAGGTGAGCATCAGTGTCAGACCTGCCCCGTGCCCGCAGCAGCTGTGCCCAGCTGCTTGTTGAAGCCATGGCCACACACGTGTCCTGCTGCACCTGCCTGGCTGCCCTGGCTGGGGCAGCCCCCTCCCACAGAGGCTCGTTGTTAATGTGGGCCCCCAGCTGGGGCCTTGTGCCGCACCCCTGCCTAGAAGAACCCTGGGCTCTGTCCTGTGCAGGGACCCCGAGCCCATAGACACCTCCTGCTGGTCCGATCGCACTCTCTCTGCCCTCTCCCAAAGCCTCCCCAAGTCAGCCCACACCCCCTGCCCATCCTCACCAGCTGTGTCCTCACCAAAGCTCCCGCCACAGCCTGCCCACCGTGCTACCCTGAAGACCCACTCCAGGCCAGGCATGGTGGTGCACACCCATCATTCCAGCACTCATGAGGCTGAGGCAGGAGGATCACCATGAGTGATCAAGGCCAGCCTGGGCTACATAGTGAGTTCAAGGCCAGCCTGGATTACAGACAGAGCCCCTGTCTCAACCACAGCAAAACAGTCAGCTCTAAGACATCTCCTCCGGGATTAGGAGACTTACCTGTGCAGGCTCTTCCAGAATACTCCACATGGGAGTCGGAGGCTCCGCCCTGGCAGCTGCAGGTGAAAGACCCCAGGGTATTGCGGCAGGAGGTCCCCGGCACGCAGTCGTCCTCTCCCCTTTCACATTCGTCATAATCTGTGAGGCGTTGGGGGGACAGAGCAGGAGTGTCCCGGGGCTGCAGTGACAGCAGCCGGCCGGCCGGCCCGGTGAGCACCCCCTCCCGGGAGCCCAGCTGAGCCCACCGGCGAGGGTGAGGCTCAGTGTGCCGGGCCCCCTGCTGCAGGGTCTGCAGGGAGGAGCTGGCCTGGGGCGGACATGGCGCCGCAGGCCCCCTGCCTGCCTCTAGTCCTGACGTCCTTACAGGTACTTAGGGCCCCGGGTTTCTTCCCCAGCACCAATCAAGCATCCGTCTGTCAGATCCTCCGGAACTGAGCATATGCCGCCTCTTTCCTTACCCTGTCTTAGGGGCCTCTTCATCCCAACAAACCCCACTTTCCAGAACAGACAACCGGCCATGCTGTGACCATCATTCAATACACGTCCGACCCCAGGACTCTTGGTTATTTCCCGTTCTTATGCTTTGAAAGTAATACAGAAGATGAATATCTTTGCACACACCATCGTCCAAACCGGGCCTCTTTCCCAGGATAAAGTCCCAGAAGTCGTCTTCTGACCCCCACGTGGGTGAACACTGCGAAGCTCTGAACACCTATTGCTGAGCTGATTCCCAGGGAAGGTGAGCAAATTCTACTCCACCTGCAGACCCCAAGCACCTGCCCTCCACGCCCGTGGAGGGAGGACCATTTCCCCCAAAAAGATTTTTATTTCAAAAAGAGCAAGCCTCGAAAGGCAGTAGTGACCCTGGGAATCTTTGCTGACTACATCTCTGAGGTAATCTGTTTTTCTCTTCTATATATTATCTACTTGGATCTTTTGTGTGCTTATCGGGTTCTTAGTATTTATCATCTATTTGTATGATCATTGTATGAATTTAGGCTATTATTTCATCAAATTTATGGAAAGTAGTTTTTGGCTTTTATAATGGTGACTTTATTTTGCTTGACATAAAAAAACTTGTTTTTTGTTTTGTTTTGTTTTGTTTTTTGGTTGTCGTTGTTTTGGAGACATGGTCTTGAACTCACTATGTAGTCCAGGCTGGACTCAACTCATGACAGTCCTGCCTCAGCTTCCCCAGTGCCGGGATTACAGGCACACGCCGTTATATCCAGGAAGAATTTGTATTTTTGAGGTCAAGTATTTCAGCCTTTTCCTTTGAAAATCTGACTGTCCTTAGGAAATTGTTCCCACTCTCAAACTCAGAAAATATTACTTTGCAATTTTAAACATCTTCATTTATATATATATATAATTATAAGCCAGTTATCATTTATTTTCAAGTCCAAGGGGTGATCAAAAATAAAAGTTTATTATAGTACATTTTTACATTAAGTCCTTTCAAAATCCTTCCCCCTCATTTTGAGCATGCTCACACCATCATTCTTGCCACTTCTGGCGGCAGGTCTGGAGTCCTTGTTCCTGAGTGTTTTTACGAAGTTTTATCAAAACTACGGTGAATACTCCTGCCCAGCACCTGCCAATGGAAAGGCAGCTCGGAAAAACATGACGCTGTGTCCTCATCCACCTTAGTCACTGGATCTGGCCTCGTGTGATTTCTGGCTTCTCCCCAAAGTGAAAATGACCATGAAAGGTCAGTGTTTTGAATCTATTCAGGACATTGAGGCAGCCAGAGCAGTGCAGCCAACGACCCCCAGGAAAGAGGACTCCAGAGCTGCTGCAGGAAGTGGCCAGGATGATGGGATGAGTTCATTCGATGCAAGGAGGAAGCTTTTGAGTGGGACTCCTGGCCATGTGTCTTTTACTGTACTAATTTTTTAAATTTAAAAATGAACCATATTGTTCAATCACCCCTTGTACAATAGGAGAAAAGAATCTGAGTCACCTTTTTCTCCTTTTCTTTTCCTAGAAAGAGGGAGAATAGAGACAGTCCCACTGCTTCGAGAGACAAATCTGCCTCAGCCGTCGAATCAGGGCAGGGGAGAGACAGGGCAGCCCCGAAAGGTGGCAGTGACCCTGGGAATCTTTGCAGGTTCAGCTGAAGATGCTTCAACCCTGAAACCTTAGAGACACTCATGGTACGATAGGACGGATGTGCAGCATCCCATCTAATCTGCATTTCCCGGTGAATTCCAGGAAGAGCCCGGAAGGGACAGCCTCAGGACCCAAGGGTCAGAGTGGGCTCTTGCCCAGAAATCGGGGGAGGGCACCGACAGCCCACCTCTGCCTACCCCATATGAAAGTGTCGCTCCTGACCACCTCCAGCTGAGACATGTTCCCCAGGGCATTGAGGAACGTGGCTGACACCTCCCTGACATCCACAGCCACCGTTATCAGCAGATCAAACTCCACCACGATGCTCCCATTGGTGATGCAGGTGACGTTCATTCTGATCCCGCCGGAGTCCATGTGCTGACGCAGGGCGGCCGGCAGGGAGCCCCGCACCTTGGAGAGACAGAGACAGGCCGCTGGTGCAGGGTCCTACCCCACAGCAGGGCTGCCTCATGGCACGGTCAAAGCTGCAGATCGGCTCTGGGCCTCTTTCCTGTCTGCTCAGGCCTCAGCCCAGCACCCACGCCTGGGACGTCTGTGATGCAGAGAAGGTCCCTGTCCTGCAGCACAGGGCAGGTGTGGGGAGACGGCTGGGGGGGCTCACGGTGGCAGCTAGACCCTGAGCCAACCAGGGCAGGGCTGGGGAGTGAGCCTACCCTCCTCTTCACGTTTCCTGACATTGCAGAACATTTCTCCTTCCAGGTCCTCCTTCCTGTCCCGAGCTGCCTCCGCATGCGCACCTGCACCTCCCCGTTAGGACAGGCAGCGCCTGCTCCTAGATTGTGCCGCTTTGGATGGAATCATGTGCCACGCACTGTATTCCCGCATCCCAGCTCACCATGGTCTAAGTGCCAGAGATGAGTGACTTACAGTGGGCTGTCACGGCCCACAAGAGTGAAGGTGCCAGAGAGTGGAGCTCCTCCAGGGACAGTTCTCAGCGAGGAGGCCAGGGCGTGGAGTGGCTCGGGGCACAGGCTCATGGCGCCATGCCCCACTCCCGGCCACCCAAGGTGAACAAATTCATTGTCACCCATCAGAGGCAGACCTGATCCTTTGACTGGCTCTGTCAGAGAGCTATTGTCATTGTCCTCAGTCTTTCTCCCCTCCCCCCACACAGATGCACTGGGGTCTTGGATTAATGCCACCATCTCAAAGTTCCAGTCTCCCCACTAAGAACTGAGGCCAAGCCGGGTGCCACATTAACCCACACCTGCCAACACTCCTCTCCACATCTGGCCCAGCCAGGGACTCACAGTTCTCTGCCATGCTGAGATTCTAAACATAAAATGCAATTCTCCCCCAAATGGGCAAAGGAGGATAAGTTGAAAGAAGAAAGTCAAGAAGCTTGAGATGGAGACAGAGCCACTTCGCCTAATCTCTGGAGCGGTGCTTAAAGTCACATGCAGCTGTCATTTCACAAGGAGGCAGTGACATGCACCATCAACCACACCACCACCGCCTCTGGCAGCCGGGTACTGGCACAGGCGGAGATCCCAGAATAAACACGGCAGACCCTGGGTCCCAGGAGCCACAGCTGCTGGCCGGGCCATTTTACCAGGGGCCAGATGTTATGGTTTGTGACTGCATGTCCCCCCAGATCCTCATACAGCCATGAGGCAGGCTTCTAGAGTTTATGATTGATCCACGATCCATTGCTAGGATTATGGGTGTGAGTGCTACACCGCCCTGGGATGGATAGTTTTCATATAATGTAAGGGAGGGAAAGAGGCTTCCTGCCGCCCCTCCTCCCTTTTGCTCTTGTTGCTTTTGCTGTCTTCTGCCACCATGAACTCTTGGCCTCTGCCATGTGCCATCCTGCCTTGGAACCAGCCGAGTATGGACTAAAACCTCCACAGACTGTAAGCGAAATAAACCTTTCCTCCCTTAGTATTGGGCGTCAGGTATTTTGTCTCAGCAATGAGAGAAAAGTAACCAAGACACCAGGCTGGTAGGTCCCATGGAAACCCCTGGGCCACCCCAGCTTTGCAAATGACCCCTGTCATTGTCACTCTTGTCATGAGGTGGCGCTGTGGAACCCTCTCTGTTCTGGGTTTTAAAACTTAAGGAAAAGCTGAAATGGGAGATTTCCACTACAAAAGCCACATCGTTCTGTTATGACCAGTGCACTGTCTATACCTTAAAGGAAAACACCTGACCACCAACAAAGATTAAAAAAGACAAGACAAAGACTGTAGCAGCATTCATCCTGGAGAATGTCGAGGAGACAGCGGTTAGGAAGGAGGACAGGAGAGTGGGAAAAGCGCTGCTTGGAAGGCAGGGGATCCCCGCAGCGAGCTTCATAATAGACAAAAAGTGGACGCTCAGTGACTGCATGCACAGAAAGGAGTGTGGCCTGCCCGCGCTGTGGGCTACTGCCCAGCCCTAGGAAGGAACAAAGCCAGCACGCGCCACATGGAGGAGCCCGGAAACTCATGCCAAGTGAAAGAAGCCAGACCCACCCCCCATCACACAGTGCACAGCTCCACCATTACGGGCATCCAGAACAGGCGAATCCACAGACACGAGGCAGAGCGGCGATGCTCGAGGGCTGGGACAGGGCTCGAGACTCGCGGTTCTGCTTTGGGGTGATGAAAACAACCTGGAGTCAGATGGTGGTGATTTCTGCATAATTCTGTGAACAGACTGCAGGCCGCCGAAGTACACTATGAAATGTGAAATTTTCCCCTTCTGGGTATCTCCTCCAGGGAGGTAAAAATATCACACCGCGGTGACAGATGCAGACTCGTGTTTATAGCAGCACAGTGCAAAACAGCTATGTCTTGGAAGCAGCCTCTATGTCCATCAGCAGATGAATGGCTGAGGAAAGTGGGGTGTTCACACCCCGTGGAGCACTGCTGCGCCTAAAGGTGAGCTTGAGGTGTTTGTGGGAAAAGGGATAACCTCGAGACCTTTATGTAAAACGAAGCAAATCAGGCACACAGCTTGAACAGTGTGTGGCTTCCCTTCTACAAAAAGGTTCATAGGAAAAAGAGAGATGGAAAAAAAGTTACTGCATTCTAAGTATGTGTCTGTTCTTGGCTTCTTATTTTACTCCAATAGCGTGTGACCTCACCCTGCAGGGTTCTTGTTTCTTTGGATATGTTAAGGTCTTTGTTGTTGCCATGATCGTAGTCTATTTTGAATAAAAAAGAAATCAATTCCCAGAATAGGAAAGTTTTTGAAGATAGAGTAGCTCAGTGATTGCCTAGATTAGCGGGGAGGAAGTGGGAGACAGGAGCTAGTGGGCAGAATGTTTTGTTCTGGGATAACAAGAATGATCTAAATTTGATTGTGGTCATGCTTGCACAACTCCGTTGTAACAAGTCTACTGAATCTTAAAGTTTGTAAATTGTGCGGCATGCAAATTTTAGTTCAATAAAGCTATTATTTTTTTAAATATGAATTTTGTGGTATGTGCCATAGACCTCAGTTTTGAAAGTTGTTTTTTTTTTTTTTTTTTTTCAAGCAGGGAGGGGATTTTCACAGCAGACCTTAGGGTCCCACAGTGGACGGAAGACAGTGGGACTGGAGGGGGTGCTGGAGAAGGCTGGCTCCACCTCCAGGCCCACGGCCTAGTCCCATCCCCCTTCAGAACCCAGGAGCCCAAGGGCCCCGGGGTCCAGTTCCTGCTTGGTTGGATGAGTCCACCACCCGCCGCCCTCCATCCTTTATCTCCCCAAAGGAACAGGGACGCCCTCTGCCTCACCGTCCTGGAGAACAGGTCCAGGAAGCCTCGGTACTCCTCGCTGCTGGCGTTGCGGAAGGTCTCGGAGTACCTGACGTTCTCGATCCTGACTTTGCCACTGAGCTTCTGGGCCGCTGCAGGTTGGAAAATGGACGCATTGGGAACCCCACCGCCCTAGGTAACAGCCTGTCATTTTGGCTTCGCAGCTGCAGGTCCACGCTGACAGGAAGAGCATCTCACAGCACTGACCTGCGCTCTAGAAAGATTGGCACAGATGCCCGGCACGGCCCCCAGGCTCCAGAGGGTGCAGGAGAAGCCTGGCACGGGGCAGACACTTCTGGGGGCTGCAAAACCAGCTCAGCCGCCAACGGTGCCCCGCACGGCCCATGCCCGTGACCTGTACCCAGGTGTCAGCCAGGACGCCGTGTGAGGGGAGGGGTGAACGGAGCCTACGAGATAAGTAGGCAGGGCCACAGCGTGAAGCAGCCATCCTGGCCTGGCTGGCACACAGGGCCCGCACCAGGGCCGGTGCCAGGCTGGGCTGCGCGGCTCCCCCCCCCCCACCTCTTGCTCCGGCAAGACAGGCAGTCCCTCTTGCTCTGGCACCTTGTGTGCCCTGGGTCTGCACCCAGCAGGGCCTCTAGGAACACAGGGACTGCGCGCGGCTTCTGGGAACAGGGGCACCTGGCTCCCAGCCCCCCCCCCGGTCCTTCGTGGGGGGTTACAGAGCACCGATCTGTGCCAGGTGGTGGGCGGTGGGGCAGAGAGACAAGGGCCTCCTCTTGGGGGTTCGGAGTCGGTCCCCTAAGAGCTTCTTACTCAGTCTCAATCCCAACTGCAAAGCCACCCGCTGTACAGTCTGGCCCCGACCCTGAGACCGCTGCTACCAATGTCTCCTGAGAGGTGCGGGGCACCTGCCCTGTCAGACACCCGGCTGGGTCCCTCGTTTACGAAAATAGCCTGCTACAAGCGCTAATGAGGAGGAAGAGGCATCGTGTCTGAACCTGGTGGGTTTTGGTTTTGCTTTTGTGGGATGAAGATTAAACCCAGAGCATCACCCTCGGCGACATCCCGGCCTGGGTTTCACTTTTCATTTGGAGGCGGGGTCTTTCTAAACTGCCGAGATCAGGCTTGAACCTACAGTTCTCCTGCCTCAGTTTCCCCAAGCGCTGGGACCACCCACACCTGCTTTAATATATGTAGTCATGGCTAAGGACCGGATCCGACGCTGAACGTGCCTCGGCTGACCCTGTTCCTTTGTGGCTACAGCTCTGGTGGACGCCCTGCCCGTGTCTGGCAGGAGACCGAGCCCTCCCGAGTGGAGAGGACCCAAGGAAGGCACACGATGCCGCTGTTGGACCATGGACCCACAAGGACCCAGACAGGTGGCCTCTGCCCTGCGACAAAGCCACCCTCTGCCCCGAGCCAGCCCAACACCTGCTCCCGCGAGGAGCCCCTGGCCTGCTGTCCTGCACTATGGGAGCGAAGGAGCCAGCGGAACAGAAGCCCAGCAGCGCCCGACCCCTGTCACCCCCGAATCTCCTCCGCCCTCCCTCCTCCTCCTCGAGGACAGCGTGACCCACCTTCCCGAAGGCCCACCTGTCCTCACTTTCAGCCGTGTAATCGCACCCTCTTTTCCACACGCTTTGGCCATGATCTCCACCAGGTACAAGACGCCAGGTTCCAGCCCTGACAGCTGTGCGCTGCACTCCTGGGTCTCCAGACCCACAGCGGGGCTCCGCGGAGCAGTGACAGTGAGACGGAAGGTGGGGCGCAGGGCGACGTCTGCCAGCCATGCCAGGTGGAAACTGGTGCCGGTCACATTGGAGACCCTGACCTTTCCGATGGGGACAGGAGCTGGGAAGAGAAATGAAAATGCCAAAGTTAGCTGTTCTGAGGAAAAAAGCAGATCAAAGGCACCGTGCTGGAGGCAGGAGGCAGGAGGCAGGAGGCAGGAGGCAGGACAGGCCGTGGTGACCGTAGCCGGGAAAGGTCCTGGGAGGGCCCTGTCGGGAGCTGGCTGGTCCACTCCCCTGGGTGAGCGTATGGCGAAAGGTAAAAGGCAATAGACCAAGTGATAGAGTACACAGGGGTCTGGGAAGGTCAGAGCTTTTGTGGCTAAGACCCTGACCTCTCCAAACTGGCCCGTTTATGGGGTTCATAGCATATCATAGGGCACGCAGGGAAATGTAGGGAACAGCTGAGGCAAAAGGCAGGAAAGTGAGCAAGGCCTTGGAAGGGGGAACAAGGACATTCCGAGCGGTAGATCTTTGTGTGACGAGAGGACTGTTCGACCTCTGAGGTTGCAGTTACTGCCCTGGAGCTCTGAGGGTGTCAGCGTCCTCGGCTGAGGTGCTCTCTTGCCTTCAGAGGCATCACACTGTCACTGTGGGCCTCTGCCATGACCCTTGGCGTGGAGAACCCTGTTTCTGCATGTCGGCTGCTGGCTCCTTTGGCAAGTCACTTAGGCCTGGGCAGACTCATACGTTAATGTGGAAAGCCAACGAATTCTGCAGCCTGCTGAGCACCGCCTCAGTGTGGTCCCCGTCAGGGGCGCTCACCACCACACACACCTGTGAGGGGTCCCTGTCCTGCGTTCCCGGGACCACACCCTGCCCTGTGGTGACTGCTCACCACCCCCAGCGTGGCTCGGTCTCTGAGGGTGGCCACCTGGCCCTGAAGGTGTTGGGTGCCAAAGCTCTTCTGCAGGACCCGGGCGGCTTCCCAGCCCAGCTGTCCATGCCTCACGTGCTGGACATCACAGAGGACAGCGTGGGCAGCAGTGCGGGCCCGAGAGCCGCTCTGACAGGGGGACAATCTGCACATGGCTGGAGAGCTGGGTGGAGCTGCTGCATGCAGAGTGGGGACAGCACAGACAGTGGGGCTGGCACCGCAGAGCTGCTCCTCACCTCCCGGAGCGGCCCCGGGGCTTGGGGCGGGCTGGAACTTCCACCTACAAGGTGGACCTGGTGGGGCTGCAGCACAGCTATGCGGGGACAGATGGGTAGGGTTCGGGACAGGGGTGCGGGCCAGGGTGGGAAACCCAGGGTACAGACTTGTGGGGCACTAGCGGGGTATAGGACTACTGAGGTACCCGGCACTTGGGGTGCTCCAGGGTCCTCAGAACACATATCCCAATGTCTCCTACCCTGGCTACAAAGCAAGAGCCTTAGGGAGCGAGAGGAGGCTGGAGATGGGGCCTCTTCCTAGCGAGACTGGATGGCGGCCGGTGGAGCCGCCTGCTCTGCACGGGGCCTCCTCACCCCACACAAGGGGACGGGGCCTCCTGGTGTTTCAGGCTGGCCTGGGACACAGTTCTGTGGGCTGGGCCACCTGGGGTCCTGCAAGCCACCAAGGTCCCTTCAGGCTTCTGGGCCCCCTGGGCCACTCACCGCAGCTAGGGGTCTCCGGAGCCACGGGGGTGGGGACTGACGGGGAGTCCCGGGACGGGGAGGGCACGGGGTCCCCGTGCTGCAGTGCGGTGGCGTGCAGAGGCGTCCCCTCTGTGGGCTGGCTGGGGTGCCACTCGACGTGACCTGTGGGGCCACGGGTGGGGGCTGGCAAGGTGGGTGGCTCCGTGGTGACGTTTCCCAGGAACTGCCCCGGGGAGTGCACGGGGCCGCCGGTGGTCCCCTGGGATGGGCCAGGGCTTGGCCTGGGAGCCGAGGGGGCGACGGCTGGGCTGGGGGCCGCACTGGGCCCCTCCTCCTCCTGGCCGGGCCCTGCGCTGTTTCTGTCCTGTGGGACTGTGCCGCCGGGCCCTCTCGTGGTCGGGCGCCCTGGGCTTGGGACCTGGGCTGCCGTCGGGGTGCCCCCTGGGTTCCTGGGGCTGAGTGAGAACGTGGGGGGCTCTGGGACAAGGGCTGTGGTGCCTGTGCCGAGGGCCGAGGCTGTGATCCCCGCTGCTGCCGACAGACCACGTCCGGTGGGGCTGACCACGTCACCTGCAAGACAGCCATGTTGCACCCCAGCAGCGACAGCAAGGCGTTTGCCGCGGAGGGACGCTACCTTCCACAGCAGCGCCCCTCCCGCCCCGGGCCCCGGGAGGACGCAGGCTGGTGCGTTGCTGTTGAATGAGGCCACGTCTGCGCCTCCCAGTTCCCTCAGCAGGCAGAGGCAGGGGGACCTCCTCGTTTGATAAACGGGAAGCTGAGACCCAAGAGCGGGGGGGGGGGGGGCTGGCTGGGAGCTGCAGACCCGGGCAGGAGGGTGGGCGGGGCTTGGTCCTCCCAGCCTCAGATCAATCTCTGGAGAGTCTGGGGAAATGGCAAGGATCCCCCTACAACTGCACTCCATGTGGGAGTCAGTGCTGATCTCCCTCACCAGTGTGCTGGGCATTCAATGAATCAAAAAAAAAAAAAAAATAGGAGCCAAGCGTGGGAACATTGGAAGCTGGAAGGAGTTTCAAGGGGTTGAGGAGCAGGATTCTCCCCGCAGAGCGCTCTTCCTGCCCCTTCCCACCGGCCTGGGGATGGGAGCAGGGGCTGAGCGCCTACTCCACCGGTGCCTACTCCCGGGCCAGACATGGCCAATCAATCACAGCATCTGCAGTCTGCAGGGAGCTTCTTCCTGCTTCTGTGCTCAGCAAGCTGCTGGGCCGAATCCACCGATCAGAAGTGGACCCCAAAAGACCTCAGGCAGCGATGTGGCAGTTCTGGGGCACCAGGGCCCCCCTCTCAGGACCCACTTTGAGTTCAGGCTTCCTCCCCTCCCTGGGCTCCAGGCCACCCAGCTTCTGTGGGTGCCTGTGCCTTCCATCAGCATCATTAAAGTTAAATTTTACAACCGCACTGGTGTAGGGATGAAGAGACACGGGGTGGAGTCGCTCTATGTTTAGCACAATCATCCTTATTTTAAAAGAAAACTAAAATGTTCCCGTGGACCCTGGCATTTTCGTGAGCCCACGACACTGTCCCTAGTGAAGTCATCCACCCCGGCCCGGGCCCAGAGTGGCACAGGGCACACGTACCCTCACAGGCTCGGCCGGGCCGGGTGGGGCTGGCGTCCCTGGCCGTGCGGCACTGGCAGGTGTAGGAGCCCTCGAGGTTGATGCAGGCAGCGGCGGGCGAGCAGTCGTGCTCTGAGTCGTGGGCACACTCGTCCCAGTCTGCGGGGAGACGCAGATGGCGGTGAGAAGGTGGCCCGGCCTCTTGGGAGAAGGGAGGGCGTGGACAGGGGCACAGGTCAAGGGGTGCAGGCAGCCGTCTTGGGCAGGGGGAAGACCCCGCGTGACACCCATGCCACCCAACGCCTGAGCACAAGGCCTGCACCGAGCTGTCCTGGAAGCCCGCCCTTGACCAGGCACCCCTGACCGCGCCCTGCTGGCATCCACGGTGCTGGCTTATTTAGGGGTGGAGACCAGAGGATGCAGGTTCCTTGGGCTGTGTTCACCCCACAAGAGTGGGCGTATTCCTCTTTATTTCCTTTTTCTCTCCCTCTCTCTTTCTCTTTTTCTCTTTCTTTTTCTTTCTCTCTTTCTTTGTGTCCTGGGGATTGGACCCAGGGCGCTTACACTAAGCTCCACCCCCAGCCCCTCTTTTACTGTTTCTTTTCAAACAAGGTCTCACTAAATCACTAAGTTCCTCAGTCTGGGCTTGAACTTGGGATCCTCCAGCCTCACCCCTCACAGCGCTGGGATTTCAGGCACGGCCACTCTACCTGACTCCTTGCTGTTTATTCTCGCTCCCTCTGATGTGGTGATGCCCTTAATATTCAGTGTTTCAACTGACACACAGAAAACACCTGAGCCGGGGTTCCAGGAACCCTCCCGTGGGCCTTCTGCCTTTTCAGAGCACCCAGGCCTCTGAACAGGGCAGCCTTGGCTGGGACCCACAGGGGTGCCTGGAGGTAGCTGAGCCTGCAGCAGGTGGAGGTACCCAGACCACAAACCCAGCCTGGCAGCCAGGCGGCACCCAGCTGGCTGGATTCCAGCCAAGTTAGAGCCTGTTCCAGGACGCTCAGCAGCGCATGAGCTGTGGCTGCTTCGCTCTTCTGCATGCCTTGCTGCCTCAGGACACTTGGCACACTCTTTCCTGGAGCTGCCTGACCTCCTCCTCAGGCATCCATGTGTAGGACCTAAGTGCCGCTCACAAGCAGGCACAGAGCAAGGCAAGACAGGCTTCTTTCATCTTGCACTAACGCCAAGGCCAGCGGCTCCCCAGCTGCAAGGCAGTGCAGGTCTGCACTGGGGGAGACCGCCAGGGGTCTCTGCACCCTGCCGGTCATCCAGACGGCTCGAGGGTGAGCAGAAGAGCAGCCCACGCCCTGAACAGACCCACTTGGGGCAAAAACAGTGCCACAACTTGCTCCCCCTAAGAGACACCGGAAGGCTCCGGTGTCAGGCTAGGGACACGTGAACCCCAGGCAGTGAGCGGGGGCCCCCAAGTGACCAGCAACTCTCCGGCCGTGGCTGCAGCGTGCCTCCCTATGAGCCGCAGAACTCGGCCTCCCGAGTAGAGGCGTGCTCCGTGGCGGCCGCGCCAGCTCCACTGTGTGCAGAACTCAAGGTCACAGAGTCAGGCACCTGTCCAGGGCCGGGCCACCTCTCCTGTCAAAAGCAAGTCGAGGCCCTGCCTTCACGTGGCCCCTCCCTTCGTGTGGTTTTCTGTCTAGGGTGAGGACACTTATCCTAGGCCAAGGGCCGGTGCCAAGTCCAGCCTCGGGATGAGATCGTTTTGGGATCCTGACCTTACTCAGAGCTGAGAACCTTTATTCTAAAGAAGGCCGCATTCTGAGGTCCCGGGTGGATGGATGTATCTTTTGGGAGGTGCTGTTCACACACCCTGGGTCCCAAGTCCCCAGAGTCCACTGACTGAGACCTGGCACAACCTCGGCCCTGGTGCATCGGGGCTGGGGTGGAAGGCAGGGCTGGACCTCCTGAAGGGCTGGACCCAGCGGGGCACAGGACAGGCATGGAGGACCCCACCACAGGTCCCCAGCCACACATGGTTCTATGAGAAGTGAGACCACCTTCGTCCCTAAGGCCACCAGTGAGCGGGGTGTCCTCGGCTGAGCATCTCCGGGAGCGACTCCAAAGTGCAGACACGGGGCCGCCTGCACTCCTGCACAGGGGACAGTTGCGGGGACAGCCAGCACCCACGGAGCACAGAGGTGACACGGCTCATGCTTGGACCCATGCCGGGGCTGCTGACGGGGGTGTCCCAGGGCTCAGGGGCGGAGGCGAGCACCCCACTGCAGAGAGGAGGAGCTGCACTCTGCTCTCTCTGTCTCCTACGCTCTCTGCATCTCCGCCCCGTATCTGTCTGCTTCCCCGTCTCTCTGCCCTGACCCTTCCAGTGTCTATCTCTCTCCAACTCTCACTTGGGGGCCTTCTCTGCTTCTGTGTCTGTCTCTGTCTCTCTGTGCCTTCTGCAGGAAGTGAACGGAGACACCATAGAGGCCGACAGACCATACACGCGGTCGGCAGACACTGGAGATGCTGGGACCCTGGCTGCAGGAACGTGAGCCCCGCCTCTGCTCCACCTCCACTCGCAGTCCCTTTGCTCAGGAATAAGTCCCTGCCCCGGGGCCCAGCCCCTCCCGGAACAGAGCGGGATGCAGTCTCAGCCCTGGCCCTGGCTCTGTGGGCTCGCGTTTCCTTTAGGGCACTCACCTGTGGACAGAGGAGAGCCGGCTCCAAGCCGCCCTGTCGGTCGGGGCTGGAGGGGCTCAGGGGTGGCACGGGGGGCGGGGGACACGCACCTTGCACCCGCGTCCCCTGGGGGTCGATCTGGAACACGGTGCTCGCGTGCAGAAGCTGGAGCACGGGGACCAGTGTGGAGATGCCCACCGGGTACTCGGGGTCTCTCACGGTGACTCGGAGCGTTGCCACCACGCTCCCCGCCCGGAGTGACAGGAGCTCCAGCCTCAGCTTCCCCTTTCTGTGCAGGTCTGAGACGGCCCGGGAGCAGGAGTTCTCAACCTGGCCGGAAGGAGACCACAGCGCTCAGACGGGGCAGCAGCGGCGTCTTCCCGGGTATGGAACCCCGTCTTCCTGGAGAACCCCCGGCGACCACCACAATCCGGCTTCTGGCCATGGGCTCAGACAGACTGCCCTGCTGGCTGCCCTCAAAAGTGGTAAGAGGGGGACTTGTGTGGGGCAGAGATTAGGAACTGAGTGATGAGGAGAGGGACGACCAAGAACAGTCCCCAAGGCTACTTGGAGCTGTCCCCCTTGCTGGGCTAAATCGCCCCCAGAAGGCAGGCGGGCAGAGCCCCGCACTCGAGTCCCTGCAAAGCCAGGAGAGGCGTGCTGGGAAAGCTGATTTCTGCAGGCTGGGTGTGGGAGGCAGCCCCGCGCAGGTCCCCAGCGTGACACGCAGCCCGCAGCTGGAAGACTCTCTAAGGCTGTGCGTAATGAAATGCCGTGGGGGGCCAGGAGGGCAGCTCCCGCCGGAATGAAGGGCAGCCCCACTTCCCGCCTGGGAGGACAAACGCAGCGGCTCCTGCTGGGGCCGGGCTCAGGCGGGTCTGCCTGGAGCCCACTAGAAAAGATTGAGCCTCCTTAACTGCACCAGAGGAGGGGTCTGAGTATCCCCGTGCATCCGGGTCTCGACTCTCCCGAAGCACAAGTGACCGTGATGCTGCCTCCTCCTTGGGGAGCAGCTGGCCGCCATGCAGTGTCCCGGCTCAGAGCGCGCAGGAACACTCCTGTCACCAGGCCACGTCTGCCGTTACCTCGCGCAGCAGCTGTCGGGAGAAGTTCCGGTGCTCCTCACTGCCAGGGTCAAGCAGCTGCTCCGTCAGGTTGCGGTTAGTGATCCTTACGATCAGTTCAAACACCCGGGCGGCTGCGGCAGACAGGAGCACACGTTAGCCGTGACCCTGAGGTCACAAGTCACTCGCTGGCCTGGGGTGCGACTCGGGTGAGTCCTTGCTTAGCACGCAGGCGGCCCTGGGCTCCATCCCCCACAAAATAACTAAATAAACAGGCATGCGTTCTCCCACCAGTGAGTCCCATACAATCTATTATTTGATATAGAAATTTTAAAAATACATTCCCAGACTCAGGCTTGGGAAATCTGTGCAAGGACTCTCCGTCCACTCACACAGTCACGGCCAGGGCGGGAGGAGAGCACGGGGGGTCAAGTCCACACCAGTAGGGACCGGAATTCAAGGACACATGGGGGTGCAAAGACCCCTCCAAGTCTTCTTTTCTGTGGGTGCTGTATCTTTTTGCCCTGCACACAGCCACCGGGCCCAGCCAGGTCCTCACCCCGGGCCCCCGCAAAAGCCCCGACACCGGGGAGGTAACTGGTCCCATCTGGCGGAATGGTCCGGGTTCGGCCCTGAAAGTCCTGCTTAACCGTCTGGGGAGACTGGTAGGGCTGGCCGCCTGCTAGGGAGGTGACTTTCTCTGCACACAGAGGAGGCTCCAGATAGGGCGGGAAAGCACGGTGTGAAACCAGCCGGCACACAGGGTGGTCGCTGGGCCTGGGGGCGCCCACTGCGGCTCCCTGCTTCCCTGACCAGGAGCTGCCTGACCCCACTTCGCTGCTGCTTGGGCTTTTGAACTGTAGCCTGGGGGCAAAGGGTCCAGCACAGAATCCATCACCCGTGCCCACTATGCTTACAGTCAGCGTGGCTGGACCCTCTAGCACGCCCAGCGGATGCCTGCACCCACAGACAGTCCCCAGACATGCAGGGGCTGTTCCCTCCCACACACCTATGGTAAAGTTTACGAATTAGGCAGAGGACGAGATGGACATCACTGATAATAAAATAGAGCAATTATAACAACATACTGTAAGAAAAGTCACTTCAACTTAGGGCTCGACAAAGGACTAACGTCTAGAATACATAAAAAACTCAAAAAAATTAGACCCCCCCCAAAATAAAAGACCCAATAGAAAACGGACAAGCAGAAGCAAGTACTAATGGCCAATAAATACAGGAAGAAATGCTCAGCATCGCTGGCCGTTACAGAAATGCAAATTAAAACAACACTGGGGCTCTGTCTTACCCCAGAAAGCATGGTCATCATCAAGAAATCGGATAATAAGCAGGGCTGGCGAGGCTGTGGGGCAAAAAGACCCTTCCATACTGTTGGTGGGTAAGCGAACTAGTACAACCCCTGTGGAAATCAGTACAGAGAGTCCTCAAAAACCTAAAACTAGAAATTCCATCTGAGCCAGCTACTCCTTAACTAGGTATCTTCCCGAGAGAGTTAAGGATATCACATTACAGTGATCCACGCACACCCACGTTTATAGCAGCACAGCTCACAATAGCTAAACTTTGAAGTGGTCTAGGTGTGTCCACCAGCAGATGAAGGGATAAAGAAGGTGTGGAATTTACACGCCATGGAGCAGTACTCTGCCGTGAAGAAGGATAAACTTGAGTCATTTGTAGGAAAATAGAGGCACCTTAAGACCATCATGCTAAGTGAAATAAATTAGACGCCCGTGCTTAAATGTTGTATGATTTCTCTTACACGAGAAACTCAAATTACAAATAAAGAGTGCAATAAAAGATAGGTCATAGGAAGTAGGGAGATGGATCTTTCTCACATGGGAAGGGACCAAGAGATGGAGGAGGGTAGGGATGGGAGGGAAGGGTGGAAGCAGGAAGTGGGATGTGCAGTGTCCACGTACCCACTCCACAGGAGCAGTGCAAACACGGACTGATAAAATTGCTCAGAAAACAAAACTTAGGGGTTATCTTGAGCACTGCTCCCCTTCATATCTCAGAGCACTGAGCACAGGTCCCTGAAGCCCGTGAGGGGCTGCCCGACACAGGCTGCCCTCTGCTGCACACCCCAGGCCCGGTCCCCCGAGCCCCCATCTTAGCAAGAAATCAGGACCCCATAGCCCAGCTCAGAGGCCTGGGCATTGACCTGTAGGACCTGGGTCAGTCGGGGTCGCAGCCTCAGTCACTGGGCCTGGGGACGCCCGCCTGTGCCTTGGGTTTCCCGTGAGGCCCCGGCCGTGGGCTACAGCAGTGACACCCACCACCCGCTGGCACAGGTGTTAAGTGGTCAGGTTGGAGAAGCCCTTTCACGGGCGTAGAAGGAAAGCAAAGCAAAGCTGATCACAAAGCAGGCAGACCGCATCCCCCCTGGTTGGGGCTGCAGGAGCCTCCCAAGGGTGTGGGGTGTCGGGGTACAGGTCCCCACTCTGTGTCCCATAGAGAGCTGGCACCGGGTGGGCTGGGAAGGAGTGTGGTGCCCTCAAGGGGCAGGAGACGGTGGCACATGGGGAGCCAGGAACACACAGGACAGTCAGCTCCAGGATGACTCCTTCTCCGGCCTCACCTCCCCCGAGGGAAAGGAGTGTCCCTCCCTTGTCCCGGACAGCGAGGTGGGGCCCTGGAACACTGGGAACTACACCAAGGGCTTCATGTGTCCATGAGGGTCTTCACAAGGTGTGATAAAAGTGTGAATGCTGCCACCCAGCCCCACCCAGCACGAAGGCCGGCTGGCGAGAACGTGGTGTGGTGCCCTCATCCACCTTACTCACCGGCTCCTCCCCAAGTCAAGAGGACCGTGACAGGGAAGTGTTTTAATTCATTCGGGACATCGAGGCAGCCAGGACAGCGCAGCTAAAGACACTCAGGAAAGAGGACTCCAGAGCCGATGCAGGACGTGGCCAGGACGGGGGGGATGAGCGTGTCTGAAGTGAGGGGAGGATTCTGAGGGGGGTGCACGGCAGTGTGCTTTTACTGTGATTGCTTTTAAGAATGTAAACATTCCCCATTTTTTGAGCACACCCCGGACGTGCTTCGGATGATGGAGAGAGAGGTCCCTGTACAGCCTGTGGGGTGTCACTGCCGATGTCACAGTGAGCCCCAGACAAGAGATGCAGGGACCTTAGGGCCGCCATGGGCCAGTGTGGCAAGGCCCCGGGGGACAGAGTGTGCTGTGGGCAGCCACCTCTGCTGTGCCAGTCACAGGAAGGGCAAAGTGGTACGCTGTGGCCCAGGAACCTGGGGCCGGAGAACGATCCCGGAGGGACAGTTTCCCGTGAGCCTTACCAGTCTTGACGGTCAGCACGCTGGAGATGTTGGTGCCGCAGCCCTGGTAGCTGGTCCTCACTGTGTACAGCTCCCCAGCATCCAGCCCTGACACCTGCAGGGCCAGCCCACTGGTCCAGGCGCTCCGGAGCAGCTGCTCACCCCGGTACACCTGCGCGTGGAAGTCACGGCTCCGGGGGGGACTCACGCTCCAGGACACCTGGAAGCCGCTCCCGGTGACGTTGAGGGCCACGTGGTCCCGAATGGGGGGACAGGCTAGGAAAGCAGAGAGGAGGAGGCTGTGGGGTGCATCCTTGCCAGAACCCCCACTTGTTCCCCCACAGTGAGCAGTGAAGGGGGATGCTTGCTTTTTCACAATTAAGAATCAAACCCCTCATTTGACCAAACTCAAACCCTCTTCCGGAAACCCGCTTTGGAGAAGTTCCAGGGTGCTGGGAGGTGAGGGTGTGTTTGTGACGACAGAGGGAAAGTAAAGCCAAGTCCGGGACAGAATCTCAGCCTCACACCCCCAGCCAAGCCGGGCAGGACCAACCCACACCTGCCGAGGTCTGCACCATGCAAAGCCACGCTCCGTGGGCGCTGTCTGGTTACCGGAGTGTCAGCGCCCTCTGCGGAGACTGGCCACGCGCCACCACACAGAACTCGTGCCAGCGGACCCTATCGGGCCACGATGCTGAGCTGCACCTGCGCTTGGTCGTCGCCACCTGCACTGGCTGCTCCCTGATGGATCACACGGCACCAATGCCCCCGTCAGGATGAGGCCTCGGGGGTCAGGCTGGGTCTCCCGCGAGGCCCCGTGGCTCCGCTATCAACCTCCAAGCTGAGCCGGGCGCGGTGGTGCACGCCCGTCACCCAGCACGTGGAGGCTGGGGCGGGGGATCGTGTGAGCCTGGGCTACGGAGTGACAGCCTACCTCGGAGAGAAAAAATCCAAGCTGTGGGCTCAAGCTTGGCCGCCATCTATTCTGGGACTCTGCTAGAATGAAAGGTCTATTTTGGAGAAAAATCTGGCTCCCAGCAGGCATATAGGAGTACAAATTACAGAAAAAGTAGGTGGCTTTCAGTCAAGGCACCAAAATGCGTGTGCATCAGAGCTGCAGTTCTATAAAAGAAACGGAAAAGGAAAAAAAGCAACGACAAGGAACTTTTGAAAAATCTTCTATAAAACCATGGTGACGAACAAATAATTTCAAACTCTGTGGTTTCCCAAAGCCCTTCCTGTCAGGGCTCAGAGGATACATTCTTTCTAGTATTGTGAAAACACCGTCTTTCCAAACACATGCGTGTACTTTCTCAGTAAAAACCCAAACAAACAAACAGCCACAACAAATCAGTACAACCCATTTCCCTTTCTGCCTTGGCTTCCAGGAGGCTCAGAATCAGGCTCAGTGCCCAGTCACAGTCCTGTACCTTACAGAGCCCACTGTCTCCTCCTTCTGACTAGGTGCCAAGCTGCCTTTCATAAAGCACTCAAGTGTCTGGTTCCCTGTGGTGAGCCCTCGCAGACCAGCCTCAGAGCAGATGGGAGTAAGTCACCAGAAGCCCACACCCCGTCTGCCTCAGTGGGACAGGAAGTACAAAGACTCAATTCTGCTTGCTCCTATCTTTTTCCTCCTGTCACAGAAATAGGCACAGAAACAGCTGTTCGCTCGTCACGACATTTTCCTCCACAACAAGGAAAGTAGAACGGGTTGCAACAGACCGCCCCGACACGGGGACCCTGGGATCAGAAACCTGGCCTGCTAGCAGCCAGGCAGCTTCCCCGGGCCTGGACAGCACGTGTGGAGCTCAGAAAGGAAGGGAGGGCTGCGATCTCTCTTCCAAGAATCTGCTGCAGTTGGATGTGGTAGCACACAGCCCAGCACTTGGGAGGCTGAGGCAGGAGGACCACTGAGAGTTCAAGGACAGCCTGAGCTGCACGGCAAAACCCTGCCTCAAAAACCAAAGTGAATATCTACTAAAAGCACCAACAGTTCTATTTCTGTGCCCTGAAGACAAATGACAATTGAGTGTGAATCCACACTGGTGGAGGAAGGATAGTGGGACACCCCAAAATGGGACACTAGGGTGAGTGGAGCCTCTCACATGAAGGGTTGAGCAGCAGCTCGGGGTCCCTGTCCTGGGCTGTGACTCCATCTCCTTGCTGCACTCTGACATGGTACTTGGCAGGAGACAGCAGGTGTCCTGTCCCAATTATGGGCCACCTGGAAGAGTGTTCTAAAGATGTCTCTGAGCAGGGCAGAATTAAAGCAGAAACGCTGCCCCCCAGCACTGGGAAGGAACACAGAGGAGAGCAGGAGGACGGTGTCTCAGGGCTCGGGGTCACAATGCACGGGCCAGATCTTTAAACCACATGTGCTTGCTGTTTACATTAAGATCCCAAGTTGGGCGCAGTGGTGCACATCTGTAATCCTAGCATTCAGAAGGCTGAGGCAGGAGGATCACTGTGAGTCCCTGGGCTACACAGTGAGTTCAAGGCCAGCCTGGACTACATAGCAAGACCCTGTCTCTAAACTCTAAAACTAATTACACCAGTGGGTTCTCTGCCTGCTGGGTGGAGGCTACAGAGCTGATGCGGCATGGCCGTGAGACCCACAGCAGAGCAGTCGTTGGTCTGCAGGCTCTGCGGCCGACACTGAGTTGGCCCCTCCCTCTGAGGAGATCCATCCCCCAGAGCAACACCACTGCCTCTGGGTACTAGTGTGGCTTCCTCTCCAATGTGGACCTTGAGGAATTTGCAGCTGTCCTCGTCACTTTCTAGTCTCTGAAGCGCTTTCCCTACATTAGCCAGTTAGAGGAGAGTCTACCCTGGCTCACAGTGTGCGGACGGTTCAGTCCAGGCTCAGCTGGCTCCAAGCAGGCAGTGTGGCCGTGGGGCCTGGCGGAGGAGAGCTGCTCAGGGCATGGAGAACAGGAAGCAGAGAGTGAAGGGAGGAGCCTGGGAGGGAGGTGGACCCTCTGAGGCCACACCCCCAGTACCCACCTCTCTGGGTCAGGCTCCGCCTCCTATGGGCAGGCCACCTATGCCCCCATCATCCAATCACCTTCCAAGTCCCGCCCTACCATCCAGTGAGGCTTTAGGGAACATCCAGACCTAAGCCACACCAGCCACGTCCACCCCCAGACTCTTCTGACCTACATCAGTGGCACCTTCACATGACCCTGGGTTTACTGAGCAACTACTATGCCCTGACTCAGCCACCAACCCTGGAAACAAGTTCACACCCACGGCAGTGCCCGCCAGGCACAGGAAAACATCCCCACCGGCGCCGCCTACCACAGGGGCACAGCCAGGGCGCCTTGAGGTCCATGAGGCAATGCTCGTGACGTGCACGTCACGCTCCTCCCAGGATGTGGGCAACAAGGTCACAGCCACTGCTGTCCCAGGCCTGCACATGCCTTGGGCACTGCCCCACTTAGTCCTGCCATAGTCCTCACCAAGAGATTCTCCACGATCCCATTTTACAGAGAACAAAACTGAGGCCCAGAAAGGCCACACTGTAACTGGCAAAGCTGTGTAAGACTCAGGACAAGTTCGTTTGCTTTACTCCTCAGCCATCCTGCTGCCAGATGAGACTGGATAGTGGCTTCCAGGGATAACAGGGTCTCATCTCTGGGACCCTTGTTTGGGAAAAGAGTCTTCACAAGTGTGAGCAAATTTGGGATCTGAGATGGGCTCCTCGGGCCTGCCTGACACCCGCCCTGGGAAGGCGGAGGCTCCGGGTTGGACTGGAGCCAAGACCTGGCATTCACATGAAACTGACTCCATGTGGACACTCACACGAAACCACCACAGCAGAGGGCACAGGCTTGGGGAATGCCCAGCCCTGGCCCCTCACACGGGCACCCATGCCCTGCCGGCCCCAAGCGACTTCTCCTTACAGAGCTGAAAAGCTGGCGGGCTTCAGCTGGGCACGGAGTCACATCAGGGGACCGTGCAGTCCCCAAAGCCGGCCATGTCCTGCAGCAGAAGTGCACGCCGAGAAGTGCTTCTCCCCATTTCTGATCTGTGCAAGGATCAGGCTGCCTGTGCGTCTTTAATTGGGTGACTAATTTCACAGGAAAAATATCTGAGGTTTGCGCTGTATTTTCCAAGAACTTATCCCTCTGAGGCATTCCAGCGGATTGCTCACTCCTATTAGCGTCTCAATTTGAAACACATGCTGCTCCCTTCGCAGCGTGCAGTCGGAATTCACCCTGACTGTCCCATCTGCACACCGGGCCTGGCTGTCTGCGCCGCTGGAAGGGTGGCCGGGCCCTGTGTGGCTGCCCTGCCGGTGCCAGCAGCCCGGCTAGCGGCCCTCGGCCTGGGAGGCCACTTGCGTCTCACGCTGCCAGGGCGCAGGGCGAGATTGGCTGGCAAACTTGGCCGCTGGAGAAAAAGCCTAACATTTTTTCAGAGTTCTGATAAAGCTAAAAATGACTGAGCGTGATCTGCATTCCCAAGATGGGGCCGAGATCTTCGCCCCGGAGTCTGCAGACTTCGGAGGCTGCAGCGGCGGCAGGCCCTGAGCGCAGACTCCGGGGTCCGCCTGTGGGGAAGGAGGCGCACAGCCCAGGCAGACCTTCCGGTCCTGAGCCCCACGCCACAGCCTCTCTGTGGCCTGGACTGAGCTGCTGGCTGCCTTTTATTTTCCTCCTAACCCCTGGAGACCCCAAGAAAGGCGACCCCTCAGTGGTCACCCATCCTTCACCTGTGCAGTTCCAGCAGGCAGAGTTCTGCTCTGCATAATGACTCCTGGGTCAACAGCGACCACGGGCGCCTGTGCTGCCGAGCCTAGGCGCTCAGCTGGCCGTGTCTTCTAGGCCAGGTCAAACACAAGGCGACGTTCGCTCAGTGACGGACTCCCCAGCTGTACGTGTCTCGGAATGCGGGGCACGTGGCTGTGGGGAGCCTGCTGCTCTGCCCTGGGGCTCACTTGGCAGTGAGCAGAGAGGCAGCCCCTTCCCCGAGAGCCCCCTTTGGAGGGAAAAGAGTGTGCAGATCAATTATGAACGGGTTCAGCTGGGCATTGTCTCAACCACATCCTGGTGTTACAGTTAGCGTCTTCATGGCGGGGTGCTGACTGCAGCTGGCACATGCCCACAGGGAAATAGCTGAGGGTACTATGTCACGGCTGTAGAGCACCGTTGCTGCCTCGCCACCGAGAACCGCCATCGCGGGTGCCAGGCCGCTCCCTGGAGACTTTCTCTGACACGGCGGACAGTGAGAAGTCGAGAGGCACAGTGACACCCCGGCAGGATATGAATAAGGTAAAACCCCAGGTGGAGGAGGAGGGCACCTTGGCTAAATACGATAAGCGGCACCCGCAATGTAGGCAGGCGTATTTGAGAGGAAGCACAAGTCCGCCCAAGCCCTAGCTGACAACCAGGGTGGCTGCTCAGTGCCCACCGGGCAGACCGCGTACCCAACACCCGTATGCGGGCACAGGTGCGAGTCACAAGCCGAGCCGGAGGGCGCGGGTGGGGGGAATTTCATCACCCTGCTCCAGACCCACTGTAATTGAAAACCTGGGAACTGTTTATTTCCAAAATCTTCCATGTCATGTTTTGATCATGAGAAGGGGGTGACCACTGCACACAACGCCATCTCACTGTGAGCCCCTGATGGCAGGTGCCAGTCACACATGCCCGACACGCCAGAGCCAGGGTCTCCTGTCCAGGAGCCCCCATAGGCGGCTATGCCACCCTGCAGAGCAGGACCATCCCAGCATAAACAGAAACGTCTCCCTCACGCCCCCAGCACTGCCGAGGTGGCAGGTCATCCTGCAACAGGCCTCGAGTGGCCAGTGTCCGGCCCGAGAGCAGTCAGGGTCTACCTCTCGTGCCTCTGTCCCCCGCACTTGGCCCCGGACATGGCACCAAATACACATTTGCCCTGTGAAAGCACCGTCCCACGGAGGCCAGGCAGGAGCCCCGACAACCAGTGCCCATGGCAGGCAGAAGCTGGCACCCCTTGTGGGAAGAGGCAGAGGTCTCTGTGATCCCTGGTATCAAGTCCAGAAAGGACCCCGGGCCATGCCCACCAGCCCAGAGCCCAGCGTTACCTTCATCCGTGTGGTTCAGCGGCTGGGGAGGCGAGTCGGGCTCCTGGGGGCTGACACACTGGTAGGAGCCCTCCAGGTTCAGACACCTCTGCGCCCTGGAGCAGGCGTGCAGCCCACCATGGGCACACTCGTCCACATCTGCGGAAGAAGAGGGGGCGGTGAGGCCCAGCTCGCCCCCTCCCTCATCCTGAGTGAGTCCCTGGGGCCCAGCGGGTCTGCACAGCCGTGAAATGGTGGTCTGAGGACACACCCCAAGGCACCGGCCCCAGCTGACGCCGCTCTGTGCCACCTGACAGCTGCCTCCTGCGTCCCCCGTGCAGTCCCAGCCCCGGCTCTGTGTCCAAACTCGTGTGGCTCAGCCCTCCACCCATGATCGCCTGTCCTAGTGCCATGTTCCCCCCTCCTACAGGTGACCTGGACGGGCCCTCCAAAGCCACACCCTGTGACGGTGTCTCAGCCTCCCAGCGCCCCGTGACCACCGCTGAAGGGCACATCGAACAGACAGGACAAGCTCTTCCCTTAGCCCTGACAAAGCCTCTCCTGGTCGTCAGCTCTTGGAGGAAGGCCAATGCCGTCCCCGGAGCCTTCCCTGGGCTCCACGCCTGGGACCATTGTGCGTGACCGGCACTGTCACAAGCAAGAGCAGCACCCGTCGGGAGCGGCGCACCGCGCCTGCCGCAGGGTGGCAGAGCGCACGGCCCCAGCTGCTGGCTCCTGTGCCTCAGGGGCCGCTTTGTGCCACAGAGGCAGAGCTGAGCGCTGGCGTGGAGGACGCGTAGCCCGCAGGGCCCTCGCCAGAAGACAGTGCCAACCCTGACACGGCCCAAAGCAAATTCAGACAGACAAGCCAGGTAGTTTCTTTCAGGAACAAGGCCGCATCTGTGTGCTTGGGCAGGGACCATTCAGCCCGGATCCCTTGCCCTGCGCTTGCTCTCCCTCGGTGTACACAGGCCTGGTTGGCCTCCGAGTCCACTTGCACCCGGCTGCCCGGCCCCCGTCGCACACCCCCGAGGAGCACGGACCTTGCACCTGGATGCCGATCACTTCACACACCCGCCTCATGATGTCATGCAGCATGGCGGAGACGTTGGCCACTGCCAGCGGCTGAGGCAGGCCCAGCAGCAGCCTGGACACGGTGGAGGAGGGGGCCTCACCAGCAGAGTACAGGTGGTGGACATTGGACTCCAGCGGCTGCAAGGCACTGGCCACCTGTGAAGCCAGAACGAGGGCATCAGACGGGGGCAGGCGCCCAATTCAGACACAAGGGGGCTGAGGTCGGAGGAGTTGCAACCCTCATGCACACATGGGCGTGCACACCGTGTGACTGTACAGAAAGAGCTGTGCTGGTGTGTGCACAGCAGGCACCCCGAAAAAGTCCTGCAGGCCAGCACCACCTGAGCCTTTACAACCTCGGTTGTTATCAGCTGCACCTGCCCCTGAGCAAAGCTCGCGCACTAAAGCCCGAGCCCCGGCATCTTGGGATGCGGCTTTACTTGGAAACGGTTTGTGGCAGATGTGGTGAGATGAGCTCGTTGGCATGGGATCGGGTCCGGGAAGACTGGTGTCTGTGCACATGGGGAAACTTGAGCGGAGAAACGGACACCCGAGGGAGGGAAGACACGGAGGAGGACAGCAGTCCCAGGCCACTGGGAGAGGCCTGGGTTCCCCGGAAGAGCGAGCCCTGCTAGGACCTCGATTTTGGACTTTCCGGCCCCAGAACCATGGGTCAGTCTGTTCCCACTCACCCCGGCTGGTGGGTCTCTGCGGTGGTGACTGGGACATTCACACAGCAGTCACTGCGGGACCCTTAGGACCCCCCACCCTGCCCAGGCTGGGTCCCCAGGTCCTTGGAACTGTGGACAGGGGCATGGGAACCAGAGCTACAGGAGCAGCGTCATGGTGCGTCCACATTAATGACCCCTCTCCATGTCACTTGCTCTTCATTGCCACCCAATTTCCTGACCCCGCAGCCCAGGGAAGTGACGCACTGTGGAAACTGCATGGCCAGGCAGTCCCCAAAACCAAAGCAGACTTTGCAAAGCTACCAGGGTCTCCACAGAGAAACCGAATTTGGAAGGCAGCAGAGAGGTCAGCTCAGCCATGTGGGAACCCTAGCCCCAGGAAGAAGCCGGAGACGGCACCTGCCACTACTGACAATCTGGTGGGGCAAGCTCTCTCCCGGGACAGAAGGCGCGGGAGGAGACAGCGGTGAAGAGCTCTATCTCAGACCTGTCAGGAGCCATGGTGAGCTCTTTACAGGGACCGTAAACCTGACAGCCACTGTCTTAGGCAAGATTATGATGAATTTATTTACTGGAAGAAGGGTCTAAGGAGCAGAGAGGTTAGGTCACTAACCCAAGGTTACACAGCAGATGAAGGGCAACCCTGGGATTTCAACCCAGAGGCCTGTTCTTGCTGGCTGGTGGAGCAGCCCCTCAACAAGCCGAGAGAGCAGAGATTGCTCTGGGCCGAGAAAGTTAGTGATGCCCGTGGGCAAAGGTGAGCTGCAGGGCGCCTCTCAGGCAGGTCCCCACGCAGGGACTGGCACCGGGTACACTCGGGCCCGAGAACTCCCTGAGCTCATGCAGGTGAAGCAGCAGACCCACTCATGAGGGCAGGCCACTGCCCAGGGCTACCTGGTGACCTCTGTGACAGCCCAGCCACAGTGGGAGCCCCGAGACAGAGGTTGATGCTGGTGTTGGGGACATCCCGGCTGGAAACCGCTGGACACGTAAGGAAGTGCAGGCGGCCTCCCTGGTCAGCCGCTCTCAGCCAGGCGGCTTTGCCCCAGGGACAGCAGGAGCTGTCTGGGGGCTGTCACGGCAGGGGACGCTGCTGACCCTGTTGAATGTCCCTCAGGGGCTGCAGCATGTGGACAGCCTGGGCTGGGCATTTGGGGTGACAGGGCAGAGGCAGGCACCGGGCACCCTGTGGTCTGTACGTGCCGGGAACGGCCCTGGAAGCCCCGGCAGTTCGCTGTGGGCGGCACTGACTGCACACGGCCTGCGTCTCCCTGCACCTGAGTGTTCTCAAACACTCAGGTCTGTCAGAGCGGGGCACTTGGGGCCTGCATGCAGGATGCCCCTTCCCACTGCGCTCCAGGTCCCTGGAGTAGCTTCTTGGGGGAAGCCCCATGTCGCACGCACCAGAGAGCAGAGCAGACGTGTGTGATTCTGCAGCTCGGGGTCCGCTCGCTGCAGGTCCTCGAAGTCCACCTTCACCCGCACGGTCACATTGTACCAGCTCGTCGGGCGCCACTCAGCTGTGGCACCCACACCTGGAAGGTAAATGCAAACGGGTGCCACTGGGACAGGGCAGGGCTGCCAGGGGCTGCCAGGGGCTGCCAGGGGCCAGCAGGTAAGGGGCACAACTGGCCCAGGAGGCGGGAGGCCATAAAACACCTGCAATAGGCAGTGGCGGGTCCCTGGGTAGGGCGGCCACTCCCTCCCTCTTGATGGCCACTAAGACTGTGGACCTCAGGCTGTGACGACACAAGGGACTGTCCTTGGCCAGAGAGAGGTCAGTCATCCAGTAACCCTGTCACCATGGAATGTGGCATGGATGTCCATGGTCACTATACACTAGCCCATTATTTCCATTAATATAATCAAATAATACAATGTATTCAATACTAAGGTACGACATGACGGAATATGGTGTGTAACAATTACAGAATGCTATATAAAACATACTAGACATTAGACCTCATAATGAGCAGGTTAACAGAAGAGTGAATGCATAGTAGTATAATACTTGATATTATCTATACTATTACTTTATGACTATATATTATTCTAATACATACTAATACTACAGAGCCCACCAAAAAATGTATACACACTCCAAGAAAAGAAAAATAGTATGGTGTTTTTTCAGCAGATGGTGTTACCCTTGTAACCTTCGAGAGGATGTCATAGATCACAAAAAACCCACTATGCTGCTATCCCTTAGAAAAAAAAGGAAAATGCATGTGTAGCAATCTCAGTGACCAAGCAGCAGTTTGCTGTGCTAGTCAGTGTCTGGAAGCTCGTGATCACCATTTTGAGCTCCTCTTCTAATTGTAGAGCGCGAAGGTAACTTGTCTGAATCCCATGATGTCTCAATAAATTTAGTACTAAAATATTTATGCAAGTTTTCTTTTCCTGAAGTGTGTATACATTTTTTGCAGACTCTGTATATAGTACATGTGATGTGCATGTGTATAGTTTTATGGTCTCTCTTGTGGACAGATTCTAGAACTCTCCAGTGCTATGAAAATCTACAGAGGCTCAAGTGCCTTATATAAAAGGGCAAAGTGTTCACATAGAACCCGTGGATGTGGAGAGCCAGCTACACTTTGGAACATTAATTCACAGTATTATGATTTTATCTAGCCCATTCTTTATTTACCCCGATGATACAGTGTACTAGCATGACCTTATATGTTATAGGTGACACATCTACATATATGTGGTGTGATAAAAAATTTGATGAATGCTTAACTTTGAAAGTGTATTACAGTTAAAGGCATGTTGCCATTAATCCTCTCCAAATACTTCTTGCTTCAAACACATTCATCCCAGCATTGTTGCCGCTTCCTGCAGCAGCTCTGGGGTCCTCTTTCCTGAGGGTCTTTAGTTGCGCCGTCCTGGCTGCCTCAGTGTCCTGAATTGATTCAGACATTTCCCTTTCACGGTCATTTTGACTGTGGGGAGCAACCAGAAGTCACACGGTACCAGATCCAATGAATCAAGTGGACAAAGACAGACTATCATGACTTTTTTTTTTTTTAATGTAAACCAAGTTTGTTTTGTTTTTTAAGTAGTGTTCTTAAAGCACTACAGCTTGGTAAACAATGTAAATTAGTATAAGTCATCTCAAAAGCCAGTTTTGTTTTGTTTTTTAATGAGTTGTTAAAAAGATGCAGCCTATTCTAACAGCATATGTATCTTAACCATTTCACTTTGAGTTAACGAAGGCTCACAAATGAGCAACACTCCTCACTGAGGAAAACAGAAAGCTGCTGTCGACAAGCGAGAGCACACACACACACAAACACAAAGAACTGTGTAAAAATAACTAACTGTGCTCCCATCGTTTTAAGGAGCTGCTTTTCTGTCGGATGGCGCTTGGCAACAGCATTCACTCTATTTTTTATCACACTTCATAAAGACCCTCAGGAAAGAGGATTCCAGAGCTGCTGCAGAACGTGCCAAGGTCAGTGGGATGAGCGTGCAGGAAGCAAGGAGGGCGGGATTTGAGGGAAATTCATTTTACTGTATCTTATTTTCATTCTAAGCATTTGCTGTGTGTTCTGAGCAGCCCTCGCATTAATGGTCTGCATCCCCTTGTCTGAGTATTGGGCAGAGCATGGTTCAAGCCCAGCCCCCGGGCAGGAGACCCTTCCAGCCAGCAGACACCACTGCCAGGTTGGCCAGCACTTGTCTGAGGGGTATGTGGGGAGGGCTCCAGGGTCTGAGATGTCTGCAGAGCAGCCACCTGCCCCCCAGGGACATGGCTACAGGTGAGCTCCCCCCCCCCTGCTACTCCCAGGGTGTCTTAGGACACCAGGCCGCATGGGGACCTGGCTTCTCTGCCCACCAGGATAGTCTCTGACCTCAGGGCACTGAGAAGCCTCCACTCCCATGGGCTCCAAGGACCACATCTGGGGACACACAGGCCCACCTGCACCTAGTGTGGGTTCCCCGTGACATCAGACCTTCCCCATACCCCACAGCAGCCCTACCTTGGGGTGCGGGGGCCACACAGTGGTGGCCCCCAGACCGGGGACAGCACTTCTGAAGTCCGGGGCAGTCAGCGTCCAAGCTGCACGGGGAGACAGGTGTCTCCGGTGCTGCCGTCGGGCAGACCCCAGGTCTTGATGTGAATGCTGTGGACCGATTCAGTGCTGGGGAGATGAGACAACGTGCAATGCTGGTGTTACACACAGACGCCCTTGATGAGCCGCGTGGGCCCCACACCCCGGCCTGCTTCTGCCTGGGATCCCAGAGGCCCTGTGGCGGGCTGGGACTCTCTCCAGGCTGGGGGGCACCAGGGATAAGGCAGGGCGGGTAGGGGCCGGCGAAGGCTGCCCCGGAGGGGCCCTATGCCCAGGGGGTGGTGGTGGAGCCCAGGGCATTAGCCTGGATGTGTAAGGACAGGCCAGTAGGCGGCCTGGGTGCAGGGGATACAGGGAAGAGGGGCACCAAAACTGCCGCCCAGCTCCCTTCCTGGGGGAAAGCAGCTCAGGAGGACCAGGAACCCGGCTGTGTGCAGCGGTAGCAGCCTGGCACACTGCTGGATGCCATTGGCATCCTGCCATCCACTGGGAGGTCAGCTGAGGCCCGGCAGCTTGGCTGTGCCGTTCATAGGCTGCTCTGTGTGAATGGGGCGGGGCGTAACACCAGGAAAGCAGGGGGGAGGGGCCGTGGAGAACAACGCCTGGGACCCTGGAGTCGCCTGTGAGGGTGGTGGCCCTGATGACCACCAGGACCTGGGCTGGGGACTGGGGAGGCCATGGTGGGCTTCTGAGAAAAAGGGCTTAGCGGGGTTGTAGAACGGTCTAGCCAGGCGTGGTTGCACACACCGTAATCCCAGCACTCTGGAGGTTGAGGCAGGAGGATTGCCATAAATTCGAGGCCAGGCTGGACTACACAGTGAGTTCAAGACCAGCCTAAGCTGCACGGCCAGACCTGACTCAACAAAACCAAGAAATAAAGGGCAGGAAATGTCTGAGAGTCACAGAACCCACAGGGGAGCTGGGCAGGGGTCCAAGTGCTGGAGTTCCAGGCACGAAAAGCAGCAGAAGGAGGAAAGGAGAAGGTGGAGCCCGGGGCACACTCTCCAGAGAGATGCGCCCTGTCAGGGCCACACTGCCAAAAGCGGCATCCAGGACAAGCTCGGGACAGCTGGGCAGAGGGCTCCAGGGCAGCCCGGATGGACGAGCCAGCTCAGGACAGGCAGGAGCTCAGTTCCAGTATGGAGGGGGCTGGGGTTCTGGCTCCCCGGGCAGAGAGTGGCAGAAGGAAGGGGACCAAGCACCCCAGCCGCAGGTACCAGTCCAGTGGGTGCTGCTCAAGCCCATCTGGATCCTTCCCTGGGTGTATTTGAAATCTATATCTACCAGTGGCCCTGAGGACATTCTCGGGCACGGCTCCAGACCCCAAACACCAGGGAGCTCAGACGGGGTCACCCCACATCAGCAACACTGCCATGAAGGCAGGGTGGTCCTAGAAGGCCCAGGGACGGCTGCAGTCCCAGGATGGTCCTCTCGGGGGCCTTGGGGCCTCCACAGAATATTCTGCAGCCACAAGCAAGGGTAGCGGCCCTGGCTTCCATGGGGACCCATGCCCCAGGATGGCTGTGTCAGTCCAGGCAGAGGAGGGGATGAGGTTGGCTGGCACCACTGTCTGCTTCTCACTGCTGCTCCTGCACGTGGAGCTCCATGCCAGTAACGTCCTCCTTCCCCACCGTCCTCAGCTCAGCTTCGCTTCCTTGGGTCCATGTGGCTATGGAGACCAATGTCTCCAGGTTCCAGAGGAAAGACTGGGCCAGAGTGGCGCCAGGACAGGAAAGCCAGTCCCGTGTGCAGGACAAGGCGGGACAGCAGCCCTGAGAGCCGAAAGCGATTGCTCCGTCTCCCCTTGAACACCAGGGGCCTCTCGGCTGAGCCCATGTGAGGGCCACGTGGAAACGGCTCCTGACACAGCGAGAGGCCGTGGGGCGCAGCAAACGCCAAGCAAGGCATGGAGTTTATCATCATCACAGCCCAGGGTTGGGCCCTGGGGGAGAGTGTCCCCCAGCAGAGAAGACGCTGACATTCGGGGACACTCTGGGGGGCCCAGCTGCAGTGTCTTTGAACTTTTGCTAAATGATTCTAAACTAACAGTTTTATTTCAATCAAAAGAAAGTACAGGCCACACCCCCAAGCCGGCTTCCATGCACTGGCACATCCGTGCGAGGTGGCGCCCTGTGCCCGTTCAATCCCACGGAGGATGAACCTTCGCTGGCATGACAGATGAGCTGGGCAGGCGGAGGGCAGATCTTGGCCGGGGCCACCACCCCATCATCGGGGGGGGCGGGGGGGGACGAAGGGGAACACTGACCAGCCACGGGGATGGATCACGGGGGATCCCACTCGCCACCTCTGCTGAGGTTTTCTGCAGTCTAGGGCGGTGGCCTCCCATCTCAGGTGGCCCCAGCTGACTCCTAACCTCACCGCCTCCTGTCCTTCCCCATACAGTGGGAGCAGGGCCTTCTGCCCATGTGGGGTTGATTTGATCTGACACTGACTCAGAGCGACAAAGCGCCACCCACACACTCTCTCACAGAGCCGTCCCTGGAAGAGGTCATCACACGGCCTTCTCCATGACAAAGGCAGGTTGCCCTGGCAACCAGGCCCTGCCCAAACACAGCAGCTTCACACTGTGCTGAGTTTGCAGGAGGACAGGGCCTGGGGCCCCTTCCCTTGGATTCAGGTTAGGATACCAGCTCAGACCCAAACATCACTACAGCTTTTAAGAAGAGGAAGAGCCAGGCAGGGAGGTGCACGCCTGTGGCCCCAGCTCTCTGGAAGGCTGAGGCAGGAGGATCGAAAATTCAAACACAGCCTAGGCAGCCTTAGTGACTCAGCAAAACCCTGTCTCTAACTTTGAAAAAATAAAAAAGTGCTGAGGGTGTCGCACAGCAGAAAGCCCTGGGCTCTATCCTAGCACTACAGAAACAGAAGAAGAGGAGGAGGAGGAAGAGGAAAAAAGTGCCACTGTCAAAGAGCTTGAGGGCTGGTCTCTGCCCCTGTATGTTAAGACCCCCATAGGAGCTTTCCAAGGTCACCAGCCCCAGCTCAGCCCAGCTCAGCTCGGCACAGGCTGGGCCAGGGACCCACATGTTCAGAGCTGCCTGGGGGGCCTGGACCTACAGTCATGACCCGGGATGACAGGGACCTCAATGCGGGGCATGGCCAGCTGCGTGGGGTCACCTAGGAGTGGGATGGAAGGGCTACTTCATGTACCCCACACCTGACCCGCACATCAGAAGTCTGGGGTCAGTGACAGTCACAACCCACAGAGAACCTGAGCGGGAGGGAGATCTGGAGTCCAGGCAGAGGACGCACCCAGTGACCCCCGAGACTCCTCTCGCCTCCCCAGGCCCACCCTGGACTCACGCAAGACACAGTACAGGCCCAGCTGCTCGTAGCCCTCACAGCAGTCGGTAACGTTCCTGGACTCGGGCACCTCCACAGTCAGGTACTGGGTCCTGTAGACGGTCTTGGGGCATTGCTGCCACAGGACCCAGCCACCGCAGGCCACATCGGCCACGTGGGACTTCTGCACTGCCTCCACCCGCTGCACCGTCCGGGTCTCCTGGTAGCTGCACAGCTGGTAGCTCAGTAGGGAGAGGCCAGTTTCTGGAGGGGGTGGGAGGAGAGTGGGAATCAGATTGCGGCCGTCTCCAAGGGGGACCTCCCTCCCCAAGGGCTGAGAAACGAACCCTCTGGGCTTGGACAGGCCTCTGGGAACGGCCACCCACCCGGCCACACCTCTGCTGACCGTCACCACTCGCGGGAATTTGGACCTGCCCTTCTGAAGCCAGGAGCTGCCTCTGGCCCCAACCCTGTCCAGGCTCTGACAATGAAGACCCCAAAGAAAGGACCCGGATTCAATGAAGACATGTCCCCGTTTTCCACCCCATGGCTTTGATGCTCCAAGCTGTTGATTGGTGCATCTTGGCCCATCCTTTTCCCCTAAGCCTGGGCAGCCACACGACTGAATATACACCTACTTCCTCAACCAGCTCCTCCGGAAGGCCCACTGCAGGCCCGAGGGCAACAGTGACAGTGTGTGAGGAAGGAGGGGAAGGTAGATAAATATTTAGAGCACAGGAAAGGAGCCTGTCACCTACAAGGGGTAATCGGAACATAGGGTGAACGCTTAAATTAAAAATTCATTGTAGTCATAGACATGGGTCCCCTCCAGTCGCCCCCCCACCTCATCCCATCATCCCGGCCACTTTCTGCAGCAGCTCTGGAGTCCTCTTCCCTGAGGGTCCTTATGAGGTACAGTCAGAAATACACTAAATGCTGCATCGTGCCATCCATTGGAAAGATAGGCTCGTAAAAACACGATGCTGTGTCCTGATCCATCTTATTCACCGGATCTGGCACCGTGTGACTTCCGGCTCCTCCCCAAAGTCAAACTGACCATGACAGGGAAATGTTAGGAATTTATTCAGGACACCAAGGCAGCCAGGACAGCGCATCTAAAGACACTCAGGAAAGAGGACTCCAGAGCTGCTGCAGGGCGTGGCAAGAGGGATGGGGGGAGTGTGTTCAAAGTGAGGGGGGGGGTTTTGAAGAGGATTCATGCCAGTGTGTGTTTACTGGAATAATTCTTTGTTTATTTAAGCAGATGCCATATTTGGGGCATACCCCATATACTGTAGATAATAAAGGTCTCTTTGACTATGACCACTGTCCTTGGTGGAAGGAGGGCATGGTCGCCGCTGCTGTACTATAGGTCAAGCATCAGGCTTCCCCCAGGGCCCTGGGCACCTCCTGCCTGGAGGCTGGGCGTGGGTGTCCCCCGCCCCTCATCAGTGTGGTCACTGTGTTGGGGAAACTCAGCCCTTGTGACATTTGCTATCTCCACACCTCTCGGTCCAGTGCTGCTCCGCACGGCCAGGGGCTCTCTGTCACCGTATGTCACAGAATTGCACCCCTGCAGGAGACGTTGGGGTCAGCTCAGAATGTGACTCTAGGACCCCGGGTCCACAGAGGTCACCACGTTAGAATGAGGTCGGAGGCGTGGGTCTGATGCAACATCATCGGTTTCCCTATGAAAACGGGAATTTGGAGACACGTGCCCACACAAGGGGAAGATGACCACTCGGAGATGAAAGCAGAGATCACAATGGCTCCCCCACAAGCCGAGACATGCCAAAGACTGCTAACATCTGAACAAAAGCAGCAGAAGCCAGTGGAGGGGCACGCCTGTAACCCCCGAACTCTGGGAAACTGAAGCAGGAGGACTGCAAGTTTGAGCCCTTCGTGGGCAACTTATCAACTCAGTGAGACCCTGTCTCAAAATTTTAAAGAAACTGGGTGTGATGGTGCACACCTGTAATCCCAGCACTTAGAAGGCTGAGGCAGGAGGATCATCCAAGAGTTCAAGGCCAGCCTGGGCTACATAGTGGGCTGCTGTGGATCAACACCGGGGCTGAGTCCCAGGCTGCCAGAGGCAGCTCCTTGCCAGCCACCAGCTCCAGGGCCACCTGCATCCGGGCCATGTGAGGGCACAGCTGGGGCACTGGGGTGCAGCTGCCTGCTGCTTGCCTCCCGCCAAGGTGGTTATGACGGTCTGGAGAGCAGTGGAACCTGGTCCCGTGGGGAGTGGCTGAAGCCTAGTTGTGGCCCGAGTGAGGGTGGCAGCAGAAGGAATGGGGTGGTGATTTAAGACCACGCTGAGCAAGGCAGAGCCGCAGGCATCCTGCAGCAGGAGCTAGGGAGGGGGAGCTGGATACTTCCCTGGCCCAGGAAGGGGCCTCTGCTGTGTTCATGAAGGTCACGGACTCAAGTCTCCTGAGAGCCTCCGGGCTCCCTCTGATCATTACAGCGCCCCAGCTGAGCGCCCAGAGCCTCCCGCTCGCATAGGCACAGCATGCCCTCCGCATCTCCAGGGAAGCTGGTACGTGTCTGCTTGTTTTGTTCTCACCTTCTACCGAGGCAGGGTGTCAGCCCCACGCCCAGGCAGATCTTCCGGCAGACCCTGCCGTGCCACAAATGCATGCAGAGCTGTTGCAGCGGGGGCCGCTGGCCCTGGATTCTGGTCCCAGAGGCTGAGCCAGTGAGGGCCCCGGTCCCAGCAATGCCCTGCTGGCCTCTCGAGGGTCTCCCGCCCTCCCTAGAGCATGCTGGGACGGCCTTTTGGGGATGACGGGCAACAAGACGCTCCTACACCGGAGGCCCAGCTGACCCCACAGGGAAGGTGGGTGTGCGGCAACCCCCAAGGAGGAGTCGCGCCCTCTCCATGCCCTGCCATCTCCGGTGAAACGGTTCCTCTGTCACTTGTAGAAGGATCAGGAAGCCCTGCGCGTGGGTCAGTCCTGGAGCTCAATGAAAATTCCACACAGGATCTCTGCTCAGGACAGGGAGCGAGTGGGGTGCAGCCCTGGGGAGCACAGTGCACACCCCAAGTCCCCACAAGTGGCTTTCCAGTCCCTTCGGGGAGCTGCACTGATCCCTCAACTATCCCACCGCCTCGGTGCAGAGCTGCATGGCTCACACCTCCCTCCTCCGGCGACAGTACCGCTCAGAAAACTCACAGCACACATACAATCCTACTATAGTGGGAGAAACATATGAAACGAGTCCCAAAAGGCACTTGCCTGTAGAAGCAGAACGAATCTCTTTAAATTCCCGACTGAAGGAGGGAGATTTTAAGGGGAAAATTGTTTCTAATTTTTGCCACCTCAATTCCTCGGAAGTGTGGGGTTTCAGGAACCTACCAGCATGGGGAGCGGAGGGGCAAGCCGTTTGGTTTTGCGTTTGATTTTGTGGTGGGGACGGAGCCGGCCTCACACCTTTGGAGCGAGTACTGCTCCACTGAGCTGACCCTCGCCTGCCCCAGTGTGGTTTTTAACCGCCGCTCTGCTGACCCTATGCCACCCAGCACTTCCGGCTGCTCCCGGGCACTGGGGTGGGGATGCTTCGCTCGGGAGCTGTGTGGCATCGGCCCGCCCCTGCCACCCCGGTCTCCCTGTGACCTTCGAGGACACTAATGCCCCAAGTTTCGGGAGACCAGCCCTCGGGGTCTCCAAGCGCTTGCTGTTCGCTGTGTGGTCAGTCTCGGGCCACAGTGTCTGACTGCAGAAAAGCAGTCCCAGGCCCCTCCCCCACCTGTTTTCAGGGAATCTGCATTTCACCCCCCACCCTGCCCCCGGGGGTGCAAGGGTACTCTCCAGACGTGAGGAGCCCTCTTTTGGGGAGCACACACGGCCTCCTGCCTGCCCCAGCGGCCTGCTGCTGCATGTGGCTATGGACACCCTGGTTGGCCAGGAGCAGGCACGTCCTCACCTGTCCACATCCCCCCGAAGGTGCTGTCCTCGTGAGACCCTTTCCCAGCAGCCCCTCCCCAGCATGGCCTGTGGCCAGTCCAGCTCCCTCACCTGTGAAGCCGCTGGCCCGGCTCAGGCCAATGGTGCTGGAGCCAGCCAAGGCCAGCAGTGCCAGCCCCAGCATCCCGGGCATACTCCCACGACGGCAGTGGCAGCGCAGGGCTTGGCCCTCCACCGCAGTGGTCTGAGGCCTCAGCAGGAACCTGAGCTGGCCGGGCCCGGAGAAAGGCCGCTTCTGTCCCCAGCGCTGCTGGCGGTGGCAGTGGCTTCAAGAGGGAGTGCGCACTGGAGCAGTCCCTTATGCCTGCTAGCTAACGACTGCCACCGCTGAGGACGTTTCCCTCGGGGCACCTGCGTGTCACACACAGCCTATTCTTGCTCCAAGCAGATGGCACGCCTGAGGAAAGGTGAGCAGCCAGTGGCCCGGCCACATCACCAGGGGCCATCTCGTTGTTACGCAGAAAATGCACTTCAGACCCAAATCTCACTGCCCCCAGCAGGTGTAGAGTATTCGCTTACCCTATCTTCCCAACCTGGCAGGAGAAAACAGGGTCAAATCAAAGTGGTACATCAGACTCAGAAAGGCGCCCTTCACACGACCCAACAGTGCAGCTCAGAAGTCATAGCCATGACTGAGGTCCAGCTGGCCCCGGGACCTCCCCCGGGGCTGGCAGAAGCTGGATTCCCAGACACCCTCTCCAGCTTTTCCGAGACTTAAAGTAGGAAATTATAGACAGAACCAGCTCAGGGAGAGGGGAATAAACTGCAGAACATCAGCATGCAGTGCTACCCAGGTGGAGAAATGCTCACTGCAGGGATCTTCCCACAGCTTTAGAAAAGCAAATTCTTAATGCGAGGTCCAAACGGGCTTATGCCGTTCCAACTCCACGGAGATGTCCGCTCTGCAGGGTTGCATGAAGGTTGGAGATCCAAGAAGGACCCAGGAAAGGGAAGGGAAGGGAAGGGAAGGGAAGGGAAGGGAAGGGAAGGGAAGGGAAGGGAAGCATTTTGAGGGGTGGCAGGATCATAGGTGACTTTATCTCAGCAGCCACCCTGTTATATTTCTAAGTGTCATATCAAATCACTTCCAGCCCATGAGGCTTTGGCTGGGGATGGCTTGGTGTGGGCAGCTGAAGCTCAGTTAGTACAAGATGAGGAAAGTCTCGTTAGCATTCTTGAGAAAACATCTGTCTGGGTAACGTGGACCAGCTCGGCTCCTGGGCTCAGGGGAGGACGGCTTATCCCAGGGACAAGCTACCTAGCGCTGCGGGGCGTTGCTATGTCCCTGGCTCCCTGTAGGCAAGTCTCCCGAAAGATTAACTGCTGTGTTGGCATGGCTAACAGCCAGGTGCCCAAGCCGTTACAAGACCATAAAAAGAGGCTCAAAATCAGCACGGGTTTGGGAGTCTGACACAGCGGGTTTCCCCAGAAGACGGCAGGCTTTATAGAAAATCCGGGCTCTCCACGGATGAGCATAAACTGTGCTGCAATGTGGGGTTATGAGACAGTTTTAATAAGAAAAATATAACCAGGAGATACAGGGCGGGTAAGAGGGGAGGGAGAGAGGATGTAAAAAGAATTGGGGTGCGTTTTGTATGTGCACCAACTCCTCTGCAGGCGTGCACTAATCAAAATAAAAATTTTTGAAGAATAGATTTTAAAATGATAACAGCCAAGAAAATCTGTTTGATTGGCACTAAAAGAATAACTAGAGAATAATTACCTGTAATTTAAGTAAACTCAGAATATAAAAATGCAAGGTGAGTCTGTGCCGTGATACTGCATTTTTCATTTCTCAGAGCTTTCACTACTGTAACACACAAATGCTAATGAAAGCCCAGTATGCAGAAAGTGAAGTCAGGGGCGATATTATACTTTAAAACCTTAATTTCCCAGTGAAATCGCATAGTTTGCCCCAATTGTCTCCCAGGGAAGGTGCACCATGGTGTGGGGTGAACCCAGCCTCCCCTCCTCCTGCTCCACCGCCTATCTGGACTTGACCTTGAGGAGCCCATGTCCATGGGCCCCAGGAGAGGCCAGCGTGTAGCCCCCTGGCCATGCAGAGCTTTGTAGTGATTTGGAATTGTCCAGAATTGTCACTCTAATGTGCTTTCTCTTCTACTGAACTCCTGTAATTACAGGAAAACCCCAAAAGTTAGAAGTCTCTTCCTAGCTGGGTCTCTCCACTGACCTCTCTTCCATTCAAGCACAGTAAAAGGTGTGGGGGGTGTGGGGGTGTAAGTGCATACGTACGTGTATGTATCTTAGTCCGCAGTGAGGCATTTTCCTCTGGTTATTAATTTTGCAGATTTTTCTGTGTGGCCTCCCTGGGGATTTTCCACTTTTGCCTTTTCACATAAACACTCACAAGTGGAAGCAGCCGCTCCCCGTCCTCCAGCAGGGACAGCAGCCTCCAATAAATTGTGTCCAGCACTGCCAGGCTGTGTCCAGCCATCAGAGAGACCGAAGTCACTCTCCAGGGGCAGGGCTTCCAGCAGAAAGCCCAGCATTGGCCCAACACAGTGTTCAAGAGCCTGGAAAGAGGCAACACACAGTGTGCGGTGCCAGGACAAGGGACACACACACACACACACACACACATGCGCACACATGCGCACACATGCAAGCGCCTCATACTGTCCCCAGACAGCGTTCTCAGAAGATCCTAAGTCCACCCTACCCTAAGCTTCGGGCTCAATGGCTCCTATTGCAAAGAAGAGTTTTCAGGACACTTCCGTAAGCAGCATAAAGGGATTTATTAGCCAGAAACTTAAAGTATACACTCAAAGAAATAGAAAGAGAGGGGTACCTTATGATTAGGAGCCAGGTATATTTATGGACCTTGGGGTGTCTTCAGGATGAGCATCTGGGGTGTGTGTCCTTCTGTCCGTCAGGTCACCCACCAGGCAGCCGTGTCACCGTGCAAACCATTTCCCTGTGTGTGAGGTTGAGATACGCTGCTCCTGTTGCTGCTTCTGGGAGGCCGGAGTCTGTGGGAGGAAGTGTCATTTATGGGGTCGTTTACAGAGCCCAAGTCACAGACTCACTGCATCTTCAAGACCCTCAGGAAGTTTTCTTTTTAAGTGAGATTCCTGGAAGGGAAAAGGATTTGAGTCCATTTTGTGTGCTGAAGCTGTAATTTTTCCCAAAAGCATAATTTCAAATTTCTGATTTTCCTACTTTTTTTTTTTTTTTTTTGGTTTTTCTCCAGTACCGGGAACCAAACTCATGACCTTGCGCTTGCCAGGCAGGCACTTTGCCGCTGAGCTAAATCCCCAGCCCCTAAATTTCTGATTTTCCTTGTCTCCTTTTTACCTCTATTTTTCTACCCAATCTCAACAGAAGTTCACTCATGCCGAGCCAAGCTCACACTTGGCTTGACACACTCTCACATTGTGAATTGCTCCTTCCAGAACCTTCCCCCTTGGCAGCCACCACCCCGAGACGGAGTGGGAGAGAGGGACATTGCCCTCTGGCATGGCCTGGTCTAAGGTGGAGGCCAAGGACTGGAGATGGGATGATGGACAGGGAGAGGCAGGTGGCAGAAACTCGGCTCCCACAGAGCTGTCCTGGCAGAAGTGGGAATGCCCAGAGACACTTCCATCTACATCCCAGCGGCAGGGGCACGAAGCAACCTGGGCTTCAGGCATCAGGACAGGCTCTTCTTCCCCACTGGGAGCCTGTTGTCATGTTCTGCTCATAGTCAGTCAGTGTGTATTTTAGTCATTTTCCCATCACTGAGGCAAAATACTTGACACCATACCTCGAAGAAGGAGACATTTACTTTGGCTCACGGTTGCAGAAGGTTCAGTTCATGGTCAGCTGGCTCCAAGGTGAGATTTGGCATGGTAGAAAGGCATACAGGAGGAAAGTTGCTCACCCCACAGCTCTCAGAAGCAGAGAAAAAGGACAGAGCAAGGATACCAACACAGCCTTCCAGGTCATCCCCCAGGGGCCTACCTCCTCTGACCAGGACCCACCTCCCAGCAGCACACTCAGCCAGGAGCTCATCCATGGACAAGCCCAGCAATGAACATGGCACCCCATCACCTTCCATGAGCCCCACCTCTCAACATGGAGATTTGGGGGACTTTCTAGATCTAAACCATGACAGCAGGGGTGATGCAAGTGAGAGTAGGGAGGAACTCTCCTCTCTGGGGCTCAGTGAGGCTGGTTCCTGGGAGAATCAGCTAGAGAGGAGACTCATAAAATTGAATACAGTTTAGACTGGAAGAGGCCTGACTGATCTGGGCCAGCTCCAACCCAATCCAGGCAGTTCTGTGACACTTGCAGTTAATTCAAAGGGGTCCCTTGGGACATGGGTTTGGACCCTCTGACTTAGGCCTCATCACAGTCTGGAGTTTCTATTTGTAATCCCAGGGAAGAGTGATTGAAATTCTAGTGAGTGAATTCCAGTCCACCACTGCCATTGCCACCCACGGAGAGAACAAAGAGACAAAGACGTATCTGCAGTTGTGGAGAGCCCAGGAGGTCCTAAGTCCAGTCAGAAAAATGGCTAACGGGATCAAAGGCCACGACCCAGGGCTGAGCTGGGTTTTCTTAATTCGTAAAGGGGAGTGGCTGGGGTTGAGTGACTGTGAGAATGGCGGGAAGTTTGTGAGTACTGTGAGCTGGGCTAGGTAGAGGCACAATAGCACCTCTGCAATATGCAGAGAGGTCTGCAGAAGATCCAGTAACAAGCAGCCTCTAGGTTTGGAGGAACCTGCATAACACAGTTTGAGGAAGTCTCTTGTGTTTTGGGGCGGCTGCTGCAGCTCTGATATCTGAGTTTTCTTGCCCTGGGACCTCACCGCCTCTTCAGGCTCAGTCTCAGCCAAGAGCAAGGTGTCTCTCCGCCTAGCTCATGCTTAGTGGCAGGGAGCTGCAGGCGGGTCATCACTGACCTGTCACGTTGCTTCAAAGGCTACACATCAGCACCTCAGCTAGACCCATTTGCACTGCTGAAAGCCAGTGGAGGGAGTAAAGCATCTTCTTAGCCAGCTCTGTGCATATGAGTGCGCAGAAGTAGGACAAGGGTGAGTCAACGTGGAGACATTGTCTTTCAGGGGAGCTCTTCCGGGGGTCCTGCACACTGTAGGCTCCCAGCCTCACCCCAAACTTACTCGAGCTGCTGGAAGGATGACCCCAGGCTTGGGGTCACCGTGTTGAAGACAGAGGTCCAAGGACTTATCACTTGGTCCTGCAAAGACCAGAGGACTCAATCCCACATGGGGAGCAGCCCCTTTTCAAATAAT